GCAAATAAACCCTCAGTTAATTGCATTTGATGGAGTAAGACAAAATTTTACCATACACAAGAAGATAAAAGTCAGCTGGTTCACAACCAATTTCATTAAATCAACATCATAATCTATTAAAACATCATTTTGTAATACTAATGTTTTCATAATTCTATTCAAAGTTTATCCAATCATCATGTCTTGAATGCACGTTGCCCAAACATTAACTATTTATCAGACAGTCCACCACCATACTGACAGCTGTGTCCTGTTTGCTTTGGCTACAATTTAAAGTTTCTAGAAAGTGTCAATAGCTAAATAGCTGTTCATGCTGATAAGCACTTTTGCTATATTTCTGTGGCTGGACCACCATATGGAACTGATTTTTAAATAGCAAAATTAAAAGAGATATAGCTCTTCTGTTAACATATTTCATTGATCTTTCTAAACTTATCTCTCAACTCTGAAAAATTCCCATTCTTTACGTTGCCAGTCTTCTCCCAGTATCTCAAGGAAAATTTTTACTCTCCGTGCCACATCGATAGATATGATCAACAGACTTCAACCTTTGTTCCATGTATATATGTTTTAATATTGTCTACTTTTACCTTAGCCCTCACCCTGCGTTGTATGAAGGTGTGCAGCTATTAAAGCTACAAGATTGACTATGAGGAAGGTAACATATCTCTCTTAGAAAGGTAAGGATTTGGTAGAAATCTGGCTTTAATAATCATTGAGCAGCAAATCAGTGTCCAACATGTAAATCAAACAGGATTGACACTGAGTACCTCAGGAAGCCGCAGGCTAGCATGGCTATGCAAGAAAATACTAGCAACCTAGAGTGATAGACAAAGCATTAAACATGAAGTTAAATGATTCTGGTTTGAGGATCTGATACATATAAATTAGAAGCTTTGAACATGACACTTTGCTCTTTAATGCAAAATGGAGAAATATGTACCTACCCTGTGAAACATAAGAAAATATATGTAAAAAAAGTCTTGAAAACTATAAATCACTATACACAAAATATCAGGGATGGCTTTACATTCTCTGGGTAAGAAGATACAGGTAAAATTGCCTTCAGAGCCATAGAAAGGACGGGGAATGTGTAAACTTGATCTTAGCCTGTCTTTATTGGCTTGCAACTGGCTGGTCCATGGTGCTGACAACAAAGTAACAGGGCAGAAGACAAGGAGGTTATTATAGGTTGGAGAATAAGGGAATGATAACAGCAGCCCTGGTAACTAATAGCAGACGTTAATCATTTTTTTAGCGATTTCTGTTCGCTAAAGTTGAAGAAGAACATAAGATTCATGCCTTTGAAGAATTTACATTCAGTGATAGATATTACTAGTATACATCAATATTTATGAATCTCTTCCCCTTCCTGGACATGCAGGATAATTATACTTCCTACTCTTGTTAAATTTTGTATGGCCATATGACTTGTTTTGGCCAACAAAATATGAGTAAAAAAGACACGTATCACTCTAAATGAAACCATTTAAGAGGCAGTGTGCAATTTTTCTCTATTGTTTTCTCATGTTGCAGAAATTGTGAAAGCACAGGTTGATAAAGAGTTAACAGGAGAGGAAAAAGCGTGAGGTCCTGAGCTATGACACAGAGGGTAGCTGCCCTAGAGGGGACTCTGCATAGACAAGAAACAAACTTTTGTTGTTTTAAGCCATGAAGTTTTTGCTATTATTTGTTATTGCATCATAACCTAGCCTATGCTGACTACTACACATTCCAAAGAGAAAGTATGACACAATGAAAAAGTATATACGTTTGAGGTAGAAGGAGCTGGGCATTTTATCCCAGCTTAACTATTTATCATTGGTTGATCTTGAATATATTACAGATATTGCTCAACTTATGATGGGGTTACATCCTAATAAACTCATCAGAAGTCAAAAATATCATAAGTTGAAATGCGTTTAATATATATAACCTACCAAACATCATGGATTAGCCTAGCCTACCTTAAATGAACACTTACATCAGCCTACATAAAGTCTATAACAAAGTATTGAATATCTCACGTAATTTATTTAATGTGCTGCAGAGCACAGTATTGGTTGTTCACTGCCATGGTTGCGTGGCTGACTGGGAGCTGCAGCTCGCTGTCACTGTCTAACACGGTGAGAAAATGTCATACCACATGCATCACTAGCCCAGGAAAAGTTAAAAATTCAAAATTTGCGGTACGGTTCCCACTAAAAGCATATTGCTTTCACAACATTGTAAAGTCAAAAAACTGCAAGTTGAAACTTCTTTAGGTAGGGGACCATCTGTACTTAGCCTCTTTAAGCCTCAATGTTTTTCTTTTAAAATAAAATAAATAGTGCTTGCTTAAGAGGATTGTTTTGTGTGAGAAAGTACCTGGTTTTAGCAGGTACTTGAAAAATGCTTATTTTTTTCTACTATTGTATCTCAACAGTAATAACATGCACTGAAAAGAAACAAACACAATAACTCATGCCGGGGCTCCTGGGTGGCGGCACACACTGGGCTGGGTGCTGAGGGGCTGTCAAGCTCGTGAAAATAGCCACCATCCTCTAGGGGTGCGAGGGGTGGAACATGTCCTGGCTCCAGGATGTTAGGGTAAGGGGTCCATGGAATCCTGCAAGAGCATTTTTGTATTTTACAATTGTTCGAGTTTTTTTCTTTCTTTTTTGCAATCTTGAATATTTTGCAAGATCAAGGCTTCAAGGCAAGTGGGAGCACCGTTCCCTACAGCCAGCAGACGCAGGCACTTGGAACCCTCGCCAAGGACTAACTATTCTTAGAAACTGAAAGTTCTGTGCTGTTGTTTTTCTTTTTTTAATTTTCATACAGATGTATTCATAGAGATCTAAAGAACTTTTCCTCTCCGCTGTTGTCTTAGTCAGTTTTGCATTGCTATAAAGGAAATATCAGAGACTGGGTAATTTGTAAAGAAAAGAGATTTATTCGGTGCACAGTACTGCAGGCTGTACAGGAAGCATGGGACCAGCATCTGCTACTGGTGAGGGCTTCAGTGGGCTTCCAATCAAGGGAGAAGATGAAGGGGGAGTAGGTATGTCACATGGCAAGAGAGGGAGGACGAAATTCCAGGCTCTTTATAAACAACCAACTCTCAAGTGAACTAATAGAGTGAGAACTCATTACCACTCACTAACCTGGGGGAGGGCATCAAGCCATTCATGAGAGATCTGCCCCCATGACCCAAACCCCTCCCACTCAGCCCCACCTCTAACATTGGAGATCAAATTTCAACATGAGACTCGGAGGGGACAAACATCCAAACTATATGACCTGTTTTCTCTATCACTTAAAAGTGAGTAATTTTTTTGTAAATGAAAGAGGGAAAGACCACAGAAACATTTGGGGAGGTTTGGGATTTTTTAAGAAAGAAAAAAAGAGTGAATTGAGCTGGAGAACTTTCACACATTAAAAGCTGAGTTGGTGGCTGTGGAAAGAGAGAGATCTGGTTAGTAGTCAAGTAACAAGAGATCTGAAAAGGGAGACAAGAACATAGATTATAATGAGAATAAGTAGAAAAGAATAGATGTAAGCACAGTTCCCCACACCCCATTAAACCCATCTCCCCTTCTTGGCCAGGGTTTGAAAGACTGGTATAAAGGTGTGCCGGGTCTGTGACTGACGTGCTGGAGAAATAGTAAGGGTTAGTAAGAGCAAGGCATAGTTTGAAAGAAGAGTCACAGTGGAAGACAAAAGGGAGAATGGGATAGGTTGAGGCAATCTCCACTCGGCTTCCTTGTGCAATTCTCAAAGGCGGAGGCTTAAAAGATTAAGTGTTTAAAAGGGACCAATTTGGAGGGAGGGAGGTAAAAAGGGAAAAAAAAAGGTTTTTTTTTCTTTTCTGAGACAGAGTTTCTCTCTGTCACCTGGGGTAGAAGTGCAGTGGCATCATCATAGCTCACTGCAACCTCAAATTCCTGACCTCAGATGATCCTCCTGCCTCGGCCTCCCAGAGTGCTAGGATTACAGGTGTGGAATTAAATGAATATGGAGCTTCTTTTGGGAATTTTCCGTCTACATCGTGAGATGACTCATATACTTAGATGTTATGTTCAAATAGCTATGTAGTAGAGTGGAAGAAAACTTCATGGAGAACCATTTCCGTCTTTGTTCAGATGTAAAGGACATGACTTTCCAGGTCACAGTGGTTGCCTCTAGGTGAACTTTAGGGCTCATTACAACTCTAACGTTCTTTTGTTGAGTGAAATAAGCAATAAAATAGAGATCACATCCCTACATAAATTAAACCTTTAAAAAAATTGAACACTCCTGTTAACTAACAGCATTGCTACCTTGAGAATTAACGAGGGGTTTATTAGAATCGAATATTTCCTGGGCATGATTGCTGGAGACAGAAGGGCTCTCTGGTCTGACTCACACCCCACAGGAACTTCAGTGGTTTCCGGATCAGCAAGACTGTGTCTGGTGGGTTGCTGACAACAGCAAACCTGGGCGGATGGGGCTCTGCATGCAGTTCTGAGACAGGACATTGGGGTGAGTGGAGCCCAGATGATTGGATTGCGACTCTCTCCATCCAGCTTTTTGTCCTTTTCTTTATCTTCACTAAATGCATCTTCGTGATGATAGGAGAGCTTCAAAGGGGTCTCCAACAGAGACTTAGGAAGCCAGTGGAGGTGGGGGAGAGGGATAAAGGTGGACCTCAGGTCAGGACATTTTCTCCAACATATGAATGGCAGGGGGTACTCTTCAGCCCATAAGAGAATTGGAATGTATTGTTTAGGTAAATAACTAACAGAGCAAACAAATAAAATCACTGGTAATTTTCAGCAGAACTGAATAAGAGGTATGTATTATAATAAAAGCAGTAATACATTTTGACTCTCAGTAATTATATTTTATGATAGTTTTGATTGTGCTTTTTAACTGTAATTTTTATTTCTTCTGTATAAAACATTTTTTGATACTCATTTGATAGAAACATCCTAATTCCAAGAAAAATCAATGCTCCAATACAGTTTTTTAAATCTATCTTAATAGATATTATATAAAGCTTTTATTATCTAGTGTGTGTGTTTTTTTCTAAATAAAAAGAAAATAGTAATTCACTTATATCAGAGAACACTATTTGCAAAAGCCAGATCAATCTTTCTTTCTTCATCCATCATTTTTTAAATTATCTCGAATAAAAGAAAGAAAATATAAATATTCTACCAACTTAATGAGTATACAATAGGTATTATAACTGCTAGCATTATTCTTAGTGCTTGCGCTATGAGGTCTGATGAAGCGTTTGATGCTCCGTCCTTCTCATACAACCTCCCAAACAGAGTCACTGTTAAGATAGGTCCAGATGTTGGCTTCAGGCTATACAAGCGTCCATCACTTGACACCTAATTAAAATACAGAAAAGTAGACAAGGTCTACCTTTAAGTTATACAATCTCACAACACACTTTTAAAATTCAGTATAATTGGACGAAGAAACAATAAAAAATACTGGCCAAATTCTGTTCTATCGAAATATTTGAAATGTTGTAGAGTACAAGAAAAATTGGGGCTATGGAACTGGCACTGATCCACTTATATAAAAATTAAAATGCCCGTCATCAATATCCCATCATTTACTTACCTGAGGAAGCATCCCATGAGTTAATAAAGTGGTATATAAATGAGAAATCTAGTCCTCTCAGACAAGATAAAGATTTCCCCAAATGGTTAGCAGTGTTTGACTGAGCAACCGTCAACCCTTGTCCCTCGTTCACCATGGCCCCCTCACCGTCCCATCATCCTCCCTGACCCCAGCAGTGGTTTCTACCAGGAAGAGGGAGTGACAGTGGAACCTGCAGGAAAAGTCGCTGGAAGAAAGCGGCTGGGCAGAGCACATGTGCAAGAAGGGTTAGTTTCTGGACTTCAAAAATCTTTTGCTTCTTTGCCAACATTGGCCACTGTCAAATTCTCTCTCCTTCAGCTTTTCCTTCTTTTCTTTTCTCCTACACAATGAGAGGGGTTTTTTTCAACTTCCTGAGGCCATACTCCCCCGTGATCCTGCGGGGCTCTGGTGGGACTGGTTCTGAAACTATTCCTGTTGAATCTTCTTTCTACTAGGCAGACCTCCAACAGCTCAGCCTCCTCTGTACAATCCCCCAGATAAGACATTTTTTTAATTCTCAAGGACATACTAATTATTATATTAGGCACGGTGGCTTATACCTGTAATCCTAGCATTCTGGGAGGCCAAGGCAGGAGAATTGTTTGAGGCCAGAAGTTTGAGATCGGCCTGAGCAAGAGCAAGACCTCGTCTCTACAAAAAATAGAAAATTAGCCAGGCATGGTGGTGCGTGCCTGTAGTCCCACTTACTCGGGAGGCTGAGACAGGATTGAAAGGGCAGCCTTACAAAAGTAACAGGAAAATATCTAATCCTGCAATTTCCTAGTAACAGTCAAAGATCAATCCTATGAGTTCTCTCGCTAACAGGCAGCCCCATAGGAGTTCTGTCTTGCACAACTTCTGAAAAGAAATGTAAATGTTTCTCTTTTAAAATTGCTTTTGAGAATTAGTTTTTACAGAGTTCCTGAGTGAGCAGCAGGGAAACAAACTTTAGGCTTCAGTCATATCTTGAAGGCAGAGTCATATCTCCTGCAATAATACTGTCTTCAAAGAGAGGTGGGGAACCCAACTCTTGGACTTTGACATCCTGCCACCCAGAAGAAAAAAAGGAGTGGATGCAGCAGTTTCTCACAACCACTTTCGTTATCAACTGACAGCAATCACTATGTTTTTCCTTTCTCTTTGTCCTCATAAAATCAACAAGCCACCTGGCCTCAGAGCTGGCACCCCCTTCTCTTTCTTTGGATGCCACACCATGTCCATGCTCTCTCTCTCTTTCCTTCTCTCTCACTCTCTCTCCTAAGTAGATGAAATAAACTTTTTTTTACAAATATATATCTCCTAATCTCTGCATAAGAAATCTTTCTTCCCCACATCTCGAGCACCTACCAAGCTCTCCACCCTAACGAGGAGGATCGCTTGAGCCCAGGAGTTTGAGGTTGCAGTGAGCTATAATGACGCCACTGCACTCTAGCCAGAGTGACAGAAACCCTGTCTCAAAAAAAAAAAAAAAAATGAATTTCCAGACAAGAAATTCAGCCTGTCAGTGCCCTTCCTGATCCCCAAGGATAAATCTTACTCTTTCCAAACAGAAAGTTTTATATTTGTAGTTGGGTAAGTTTTGATATTAAAAAGTGTGTCCTCTAACATAAAATTAATTGGCGATATCAAGCAAAGATTCTTACCTGAAATTCTCCAGGTGCAAGCTGAATCTCACTCAACAACACCTCAGGGAAGACATACTGGGTTCCAAAAGTGCCACTGAGGGAGAACATTTCAAACCTGGTAGAAGCGGTTTCAACTGAGTCACCACAAGTGTTTAAGTCGGTCGTTTTACACTTCACCAGAGTACAAATCTAGGGAAGTAATGCAAACCAACGAGTCATAAGAAAGTCATGCTGGATCTGCTAATTAAAGTGATTTAATCATTTCATAATGTATACATATAGCAAAACATCAGATCGCACACTATAAATATATACAATTTTTATTTGTTAAGAACACCCAAATAAGCCTGGGAGAAAATTTTAAAAATAAAATAAAATGATTTATTAAATAAAATACTAGATGCTCTCAAAAAAAAAGTCCTAAAACAGTCAATTAAAATACTCTCCTGACCTACAAAAATGCCTATGCCCCTTTGTTTGGTAAAACAATATTACTTCTTCATTAGATTCATCCACTTTATTGCTGAATAATAAATGTAACTAGTAATAAAAATAAAGACCCCAGTGTTTCTTGCAATTCACTGTCAAACAGATTAACCATATAAAGAGACAACCTGGCCGGACGCGGTGGCTCATGCCTGGAATCCTAGCACTCTGGGAGGCTTGAGCTCAGAAGTTCGAGACCAGCCTGAGCAAGAGCAAGACCCTGTCTCTACTAAAAAAATAGAAAGAAATTAGCTACATAACTAAAAATATATAGAAAAAAATTAGCCGGGCATGATGGCACATGCCTGTAGTCCCAGCTACTCGGGAGGCTGAGGCAGGGGGATCGCTTGAGCCCAGGAGTTTGAGGTTGCTGTGAGCTAGGCTGACGCCACGGCACTCTAGCCCGGGCAACACAGTGAGCCTCTGTCTTAAAAAAAAAAAAAAAAAAGAGACAATCCATCAGATCCTTAGCCTATAGCCATGAACAACTATACCCTCATTAATTCTCAAGGTAGCAATGCTTTTAGTTAACAGGAGTGTTCAATTTTTTTAAAGGTTTAATTTATGTAGGAATGTGATCTCTATTTTATTGCTTATTTCACTCAATGAAAGAACGTTAGAGTTGTAATGAGCCCTAAAATTCACCTAGAGGCAACCACTGTGACCTGGAAAATCATGTCCTTTACATCTGAACAAAGACTGAAACGGTTCTCCATGAAGTTTTCTTCCACTCTATTACATAGCTATTTGAACATAACATCTAAATATATGAGTCATCTCACGATGTAGACGGAAAATTCCCAAAAGGAGCTCCATATTCATTTAATTCCACACCTGTAATCCTAGCACTCTGGGAGGCCGAGGCAGGAGGATCATCTGAGGTCAGGAATTTGAGGTTGCAGTGAGCTATGATGATGCCACTGCACTTCTACCCCAGGTGACAGAGAGAAACTCTGTCTCAGAAAAGAAAAAAAAAACCTTTTTTTTTTCCTTTTTACCTCCCTCCCTCCAAATTGGTCCCTTTTAAACACTTAATCTTTTAAGCCTCCGCCTTTGAGAATTGCACATGGAAGCCTAGTGGAGATTGCCTCAACCTATCCCATTCTCCCTTTTGTCTTCCACTGTGACTCTTCTTTCAAACTATGCCTTGCTCTTACTAACCCTTACTATTTCTCCAGCACGTCAGTCACAGACCCGGCACCCCTTTATACCAGTCTTTCAAACCTTGGCCAAGAAGGGGAGATGGGTTTAATGGGGTGTGGGGAACTGTGCTTAGATCTGTTCTTTTCTACTTATTCTCATTATAATCTATGTTCTTGTCTCCCTTTTCAGATCTCTTGTTACTTGACTACTAACCAGATCTCTCTCTTTCCACAGCCACCAACTCAGCTTTTAATGTGTGAAACTTCTAGGGAAGTTCCAGACAGGGGCAATGAAGGAGCTCAGGAAATTTCACCCCAAAATAGGACTCCTTTATATAAAGAATATTTTGAATTAAAGGCCCTTAGAGATCAGCAGGCCCTTGGAAGGAGCTTTCCCTCTATCTGCGTAACTAGATGGATCCATCAAAAGAAAAATGGACTTCCCTTTCCCTCCCTGTTATCTCACTATATTGCAGGAAAGAAAATCAAAAATGCAACCATACCTGGCCCAAATCATTTTAAATATAATACTTGTCTCTCAAGGTTAATTTAATTTGCAAAGAGAATCATTTATAAGTCAATCTGTTGCCCCCATCTATTCATCCTCCCTAGCAACTATTTATTGCCCCTAAACAGAATTCCCTATATTCCTCATCTCCCCATGCCCTCTAAAAAGAGTGTATAAAATATCTGGATCCCACTGGGATATTGGGTAATCACTCTGTGATTCTCCCCATACACACAGTAAATAAACCTCTTTCTCTTATTAATCGGCCTTAATTGTATGTTGATCTTTCGGCGAACTTTAGGGGGTAAGGGGAAGTTTCCCCTCACCCCCACATCCCTAATAATGCATGGTACTTTTCCTCGCGGCGTCTGTCACAACTAAAATTAAATAATAATTTTCTTTCTTTTCTGTTCTATGTCTGTCTCCCCTCTAGACTTAAGCTCTATGAAGGCTGATCTGTCTTGCTCATCTTAATATTCCCAGGCTCTAGCAAATGCCTGAACATAGCAAGCATAAATATTTGGTGCATGAAAGTGAATAGACATGTTATGGATGAAAATAATCAGAGATTTAAAGAGGCTGAGGGATTGGCCCAAGGCCAGTTGGCTACTACATGGTGGAGCAGGGATTCACCCAGGACTTTCTGACTCCAGAATCCATATTCTCAACACGTTACCTCGAGCCCCTGCATTTGGTTTTTGTTTTTCAGCAGAGTTTTTATCCCTAATTCCTTACACTTTTGCGAAATAGGTTATTCCATTCTGAAAAACCTAGAGACTTGTGATTTGGATAACTTTCACCTGGACAGGAAGCTAAGCAAGGAGAAAGGGCACAGCATGCAAAAGAGGTACCTAACCCAGCTGGGAGGTGGGAGTGGTGCTGCAGGAAGTGTCAGGGCAGCCTTCTTGGTGAAGACAACACCTGAATACTGCTCCAAAAGCTGAGTAGATGGGACTAACCATGGATAAAGGAAGCAACCTGTGCAAATACCCACAGGTTGTGCAGATGCCAGAAAACTGGAGGAGGGAAAGGTCTCAACATGACAGAAACTCAGGGCATATACAAGTAGAAGTGAAAGAAGAGAATAGGGAGTAGAAAGGGACCCACAATAAGATTTTGTGAGTCTTCCATATTCAGAAATTTGTCAAGTAGAAGTCGTGAGGAATTTTAAGCAAGAGAGTGATATAATCAGAAATGGGGTTTCTCTGTGATTTTTCTAATTACGGTGTAGGGAATGGACTGGATGGAGCTGAGACTGTCAACAGGAAGCCCTGGAGGAAGGTACTGCAATAATCTGGGTAAGCTAGGACGGGGGCCAGACCAAGGAAGAGAAGAGCAGAATGAAAGGAACATGGAGGCCATTGTAGGCTGTGAGAGATGTGAATCTTCGCAGCAATAAACCATTCTACTGAACAATCTCAGAGGTCAACTCCATCTGTCCCTAGTACATACTTAGTGTCAAGCTCTTTATAAAGCAAGATAGGCATTAGTGAACATATACGGAAAATGGCAAAATTTGTTCAGGTAGAAGATATCATAGGTATTCAATTATCCATTAAAATTAACTTTAATTTGAATAATTTTTAATATTTTCACTGCAAATAAATATTTTGCCTTTTTCCAAGCAGCAGCTTAAAATTGGACTGAAATCTAGGGTTTCAAGATTTAGCAAATAAAAATATAGGCTGCCCAGTTAAAATTTGAATTTCAAATAAACAACAAAATTTTTAGTATACATGTATTCCAAAAAGTAGGACATACTTACATGAAAAAATCTTTCATTGTTTATCTGAAATTTAAATTCAACTGAGTGTCTGTATTTTATCTGGTAACTCTTCTGACACCAAAACATTACCTGTAGATAATAGCGTCCTTCCACGGTGTGCAGTCCATCAAATGCCCCTAGGGCATAAACTTCATCTGATCTCTTCTCTGACATCTTGTAGCTTAGATGACAACAGAGATCTTTCTGACATACTGTGTAATTCCCCCCGACTCCTTTGAGCTCCACGAAGGTGTATTCATCAAAAAAGATAATGCCCTTAAATTCCTGGTTTCCAGTCGAGAGTGCTTCCACACTGCTGGCATAAGATGGCCAATTCACCACTACAGGGTGGTGTGGGTGGGAATCCAGTTGTGAGAGGAGGAGTTTTCCCTCCTTTGTCTTCATATCATAATGAAATACTCTTGCAGAATTGGGTGCATAAATGCCACTTCCTGGAAGTGGTAAGTTGAACATGACGTTTGAAATAAGCAAGTGAAAAGGGATTTCATAGTTGTTATTGTTATTTTAAACTCATTAACATTTTACTCCCTCTAGGCTATATACTTTATTAATTTCAGTAAAATATACTGATAAAGACAGAGAGGTGAGAGTAAATCCAATGAAGTATGACACCAAGGAGCCAAAAAGGGACAGTTTTATGTAAGAAGTGGTAAATTTTGGAATTAAAAAAAAGTACATTCAAGTTGAATAAAACTAAAATCTACAGAACAATTTAGATTGAGTTTGATTTTACAGCATGTCACCAGCTAGATGTTCAAAAATTAAGAGTTGGAAGACATTGTATTAAGGAGTATGGGTTAGTTAGAAAAACATGACTTTTTTTTTGCCTTTATGATTACATGATGCCTGTAAATCTTAAAGATCACACATTACCTGTCATCCTCATTGAGGGGTAATGTATATTAGATGCAAGGAAATTGACCCCCATGCCCATAGCCCACGCTGAGTGGAATTCAATAGCTGACAAATGTGGCAAAACATTCATCCAAGCTGTTGGGAAAAGTATGGTGTCCACGTGGAAATCTTTCACCAGGGTAACAGCAGGATGGTGGAAGAGTATATCAAAGCACGTAAAAATGCCAAACCTTCCAAAGGTGGTGTTGAAAGTCACAACCTCAGGCTCCTTGGGTGCATTGAATTGATCTTCACCCAAGAAAAGATTTTGCTGCAATAAACAGAAAGGGAAAAAATTATTTTAAGAAGTTGACCTGGACATTACTGTGTCTGAAAAAGGGCAAGCTCACATCTGTTGAACAGTGTCAAACTCATCTATGACCACTGTCTTCACAGGAAAAAAAGTTTGCTTTAGAGAATCAGGGGCCACACCAGCTAAATGGAGCCTTTGGTTCATGATTGATATGTACATGGGTATCCTTATCTATAAAGATCCTCTCGAATCTTACAAGACACTGGAGTGTAGTATGCCTATTCTATTTGCCAAGTACACTTAACTATTTCCTGTGGGCAAAGAACTTTGTTTGCTTCTTTCTCCTTAAGACCAAGTCTATCTGGTAAGTCTCTTGCTTTGACCCATTGCTAGGGCATGTCTTTAAAAGGACAAAGTCCAACAGGCAACGTTGTGTTGTAATGCAGGTAGCTCCTTCTGACTCTCAAACACTTCCAACAACATACTCCTGTGTTCCCAAATGCACAGGGAATTCCTTAAGCCTCTTTATAGGAGCTTTCCACACCTAATCATTAGTTTCTATGCTTTGCCTCTACTCTACTTCTAAAATATTCTTCTTACTATCAATACCAATTTTTTTCCTTCTTGCCCATTTTATTTCATTAAGCATTCACTAACTGAATTATTTGCAAATGAATTTTACCTTATGGTAGCGTGCCACCAGCCTTCCCTGAGAATCAAACACAACATCAGTGTTGTACTGGTAACGGCCATCAGGGGGACACTGAGGGTCACTGGCATTACATGGCTTCTTGTCCCCAATATTTGCCACAACATAGATAGAGTTCTCCTTGGCCAGGCAGCTGAGTCTTTCTTGTACGGGGGTGTGGCCAAATCTGGTATATGTTCATTGGAAGAGGAAAAATTTTAAAAAATCAAAGTTAACAAAGTTCTGAATGATAGTTGCCTGAACATATTATTTGATATACACAAAAGTAAATTCTAAATAATAGTAGGTAGAAGAGAAGGATTAAGACAAGAAGGGAGTTTAGAGAAAGTCCATACTTGTGGGAATTTGGTTGTAGGAAGCTAGGGTAAGACTCTAGGCCATGTACTTGTTTCTTCATAGCATTTGTCATAATCTATCATCACATTTTCACTTACATGTACATCTTATAATGTCTGCAGTATCCTGTAGATATTATCGTGCAAAGACCTACATATCCTGTTTACTGAACCCATACCTGACAGAAAGAGGCATTAAAAAATATTTTGAATGAGTGAACAAAAACTTGAAGGTAGGAGGATTCTGGGAAGATTGAAGAGTAGGAAGCACCAAGAATTTGTCTCCCCACCTAGGCAAGAGTTACACTGGTAGAATCTGTCTGATGTAACATTTTTAGAGTTCCAGGATCTATTCAAAGGCTTGTGACTTCCAGGGAAAGGCTTGGAAGGAGAACTGCAGTTAATTTCAGGCAATTTCAGCTCTTAGCTCAGCAGTGGCTACCCATCTCCCATTCCCTGGTCCTGTGATGAGCAGCCATCCATGTGTTCCTGGAGTAGGTTGCAGGTAGCTTGTGGGAGTGTGGTGGGCAATCAGAATGCTGTCTTCCAATATCAGGGATCTGTGTTCTGATCACTGGTTATTGCTTCTGATCATAGAGGTGCAAACACAGAGGCAGGCAGCCATTGTTGCACACATACACACACACACACACACACACACACACACACACACACCGTTGTTTGCAAGCCCTCCCTCTGTGTCAAGTGACTTCCAAGAGATTTAAAGGGCCAGTGCCTTCTTTTTTTCCTTTCATTTTTTTCTTTTTCCCCTACGGGGAGCTAGATTTTTAAGAACTAAGATATACAAAAACAATCAAATACACAGGGGAATTTAGAAAGTCACTAAACTTTCCCAGGGAAAAGTGTAGTCCAGAAAAGAGCTGAGAAGATCTTAAGGTTACACTTCAAGCTGATACCCAACATAGGAATATCCTATAGCAATCAGAAAAAGGAAAGCAAACAAACAAACATAGCAAACTCTGGAGGAGCGGAATCTGATTTCCAGAGTTACCACGTGAAAAGATTCAAATATCCAGTTATCAACAAAAAAATCACAGGTTATACAAAGAAACAGGAAAGTATGGCCCACTTGAAGGAAAAAGATAAACCAATAGAAACCATCCCTGAGGAAGACCAGATGGCAGACCTAGTAGACATAGACTTTAAAACAACAGTTTTAAAGATGTTCAAGATAATAAAAGATGTGGACAAAGTCAAGAAAACAATGAATAAACAAGGTAGAAATATCAATAAAGAGATAGAAAATCTAAAATAAACCAAAAGGAAATTCTGGATCTAAAAATTACAATAACCAAAATAAAAATTTCACTAGAAAAATTTAAAGACAGATTTGAGCTGGCAGAAGAGTCAGTGAACTTGAAGATAGGATAATTAAAATTATTGAGTCCGGGGAAGAATTAGAAAAAATATTGAAGAAAAGTGAACAGAGCCTTAGGGACCTGTGAGACACCACCAAATGGACCAACGCACACATCGTGGGAGTCTCAGAAGGAGAAGAGCAGTTATTTGAAGAAATAATGGCTGAAAACTTCCCAAATTTGAAGAGGGACATGAATAAATATAAAGATCTAAGAGACTCAACAAACTCCCATAGAATGAACTCAAAGAGACCCACACCAAGACACATTAATAATCAGACTGTAGAAAGCCAAAGACAAAAATGAGAATCTTGAAAGCAGCAAGAGAGAAGTGACTCATAACATACAAGGGCTGTCCAATGATATAATCAACAAATTTCTTATCAGAAACTTTGGAAACCAGAAATCATTAGGCTGAAATATTTAAAGTACTGGAGGAAAAAAACCTCTCAACAAGAATCTTATATCCAGCAGAATTGTCCTTCATAAGTGAGAGCAAAATTAAGACATTTCCAAATTTTTTTTTAAAAAAACTGAGATAATTTGTTACCACTATACCAGCAAGAGCAAGAAATGCTCATGGGAGTACTGCAAGATGAATGAAAGGACAGTAGACAGTAATGCAAATCTGTATGAAGAAATAAACATCTCAGTAAAGGTAAATAAATGAGCAAATATAAAAGCTAGTATTACTGTAAATGCAGTTTGTAATTTCAGTTTTTGTTTTCTACGTGATTTATTGTAGGTTTGGCTTATAGCTCATCATTTTGTTTCCTTCATAATTTAAGCGATTAATACATAAAAAATTATTAATCTGTGTTTTGAGGCACACAGTGAATAAAAATGTAAATTTTGACATCAATAACTGAAAGGGCCTGGGAACAGAGATGTACAGGAACATAGCTTTTTGTATGTTATTGAAATTAAACTGGTAAAAAATTTAAATAAGAGTGTTAGAAACTTAGAATGTTAAATGTAATCCCCATAGTAAACCCAAAAGAAAATAGCTATAGAATATACACTAAAAGAAATGAGAGGGAAATTAAAATGTTTCACTTCAAAAAAATCAACTAAATACAAAAGAAGACAGTAATGCAGGAAATGAGGGACAAAAAGGTATAAGGTATATAGAAAACAATTAGCAAAATAACAGAACTAAGTCCCTCCTTATCAGTAATTACTATAAATGTGAATGGATTAAACTCTCCAATCAAAAGAAAGAGACTGTCAGAATGGATTTAAAAAAATATAATCCAACTATGTGCTGTCTATAAGAGACCCCCCTCTAGATCCAAAGATACAAATAGGTTAAATATGAAAAAATGGATAAAGATGTTCTATACAAATAATAATCAAAAGAGAACAAGGGTGCCTATTCTAATTTCAGACAAAATACACTTTAAATCAAAAAAGATTATAGGAAACAAGGACATTAGATATTAATATTAATATCCAGAATACATGAAGAACTCCTAAAACTCAACAACAACAATAAAAAACAACCTAATTCAAAATTGGCAAAAGACTTAAATAGGCATTTCTCCCAAGAAAATATATTATAGGAATGGACAAGAAGCACATGAAAAAGGGCTCAACATTACTAATCATTAGAGGTGACTCAGAGTGCGCTCCTAGATAGCTTCAGGATGGGGGCTGGTTACCAGAAATACCAACCACAAGATTATATGTTGGGACTTTGAGCCAATAGACCTCTGGGAAGGAGAGATGGGGGGCAGTGATTGAGTTTAATCACGTGGCCAATATTTAATCAATCAAGCCTACATAATGAATCCTTAATAAAAACCCTGGACACCGAGGCTCTGAAGAGCTTCCTGGTTGGTGAACACATTAATGTTCTGAGGGTGACAAGCCCTGATTTCATAGGAAGAAAACATGGAGGTCCTGTGCTCCCTCCCAGATTCTTGTCCTCTGTGTCTTTTCATTTGGCTGTTCCTGAGTTGTATTCTTTATAACAGAATGGTAATTGTTAAGTACAAAAAATAAAAATAAAATAAATGTTTTTTCATCAGGCTAGCTAATTGGGCAAGTTTTGTGGGGTTTTTTTTCCACTTTTTAAATCTACAGGCCAAATCACCTTGATCATAGGTGCAGACATTCACTGTAGCAAAGGATGCCTCTTATGCAAGGATACCTACACACTCACATGGTGGAGTACGTAGTACGTAAGAAGTAGTCAATGAAAAAAATGTTGGATAAGTAAATTCATCTTTAAGTTAGATTATTAGACATAGTTTGGCTCTCAAGAAATATGCAAGCTTCCTTCTATGAGGCAACAGAAACCTTCCAAAATTGTTCTCTTAGCCTCCCAGAAACTCTCAGAACTTTACTTCAGCTCATGACCATAATGCGTGGTAACAATTATTTCCTCTGTTCATATGGTTTCTAGTTTGTTTTTATAACTAAACTATCCTATTTTTAATTAGATATAATAAGAAACCTCAAATCTTTCTGGAACTGTGGGACCTATAAATGATAAATAAATGAATAAAATAAAAAAGAGACTTGCTCCTGTCATACTTAGGCTAAGGGTGATGTCAGCCCAAAAAGACTGGTGACTGTGAGAAGAGGAACCAATTGACTTTGTGGATATTTCAAACGTACTCAACCAGACATGACATCCGATAATACATGAGGAGTAAAGGAGCTTGACTCCTCTCTTTCTCTCACATCCTACATCAAATATTTCAGCAAAACTTGTCAATGCTACCTTCAAACTTTATTCAGAATCTGGCCATTTTTCAATACTCAAACTTCTACCATCTTGGTTTAAGACACTGTCATCTCTCTACCTAGAGTATTGCAATGACTATTTAACTGCTCCCTGCTTCTTTGTTGACCTACGCCTGGAATTTATTCTCTACATGGTTGAGAAAGTGAACTTAAGTCAGAACATGTCACATTGCTGCTCAGAACTCTCCAATGGCTACCTTCTCATTCAAGTAACAAAGTCATTATTACGGCCTGCGAAGCCTTCTATAATCAGTTTCTCCTACCTATCTGCCTCCATCTCCTGCTTTTCCCCCTGCCTCACACCACTTCAACCACACTAACCTTTTTGCTGTCCGGAGAGAATAGACATGTATTCCGCCCACAGGATCTTGTAATTCAGAATTCTCTTGGCCTAGAATGGTCTTTCCTCAGATACTCATATGACCGACTCCCTCACTCCCTTCGGGTCTTTGCAGAAAGGTCTCTGTGAAGCCCTCTGATATTCTATTAAAAATTTCAGCGCCACATTTGCCACCCTATTCATCTTTCCTGCTTTATTTTTCTTCATAACATTTACCTCCCTCTCATATCATAAACAGTAGATAGATGATAAATATCTAAAGATAGGTAGCTAGATAATTATCTTTTTTAAAAAACTTCACTGTCTTATCACACTAGAATGTAAATTCCAGGAGGACAGGGATTTTTCACTTGTTGTGTTCACCTCATTGTCCAGAACAGTGCCTGGACATAATAGGTGCTCTGAAAGTTTGTTGAATGAATGAATAAAGGCAAGAAATGGAGATGTCATTAGTTGATGGAAAACATGAAGGGGCAACCAGGCTCCTTGAAATGGAACAAATGGGACATTCTTGCAGGAATATTCAGGAGACCCTTGGAAATTTGGTTCTAGGGAAAGTCCATTCAGAAACAAATTGATTCAATTCATAATGGAAACTGATAATACACATTTTAGAAATTGAAGCTCTGGCATGGAAGAGGATTAAATAAGAAATAATTATGATACAATGAAATGAGAATAAAGTTAATGATTAAGGTAAATAATACTGAACTTTGTCAAAAATCAAAGTGTCTCTACGTGCAGTTACAATAGTTCGTTTCTGTGTTTTTGAAAGCAATTCCAAAAGAGGAATTCAAAAAACAGTGTTAGCCAGGTGCATTCAGAAAGAAGTCTGTTAACTAATATGATTCTCTTAGGTGTGCAAGATATTTGTTTCCTTACGTTAATATTAATAGTGCTACTTCAGCACACTTCCTATCTCTTTAGTCTAGACCAGATTTAAACCACTTAACAGTTCTGCTGTATCACCTCTGAGGTTAACAATCAGCTTAAGCTTTAAGGATTTTACATTAACTTCATCAGCTATCTTATCCATGAGAAAAGAAAATTATTAATTCTAAACTGACGCATGGCTCTGTTTTGTCATTCACTCACACAGTTTCCACATTACAGACCTACACAGGGAAGTATTTTTCTATTCATTGGCAAGGAGTCAGAGACTAATATTTGGGTCTTATTTTCCCACTAACTACCTCTGTGACCCTAAGCAAATTATGCTGTCATCTCTCTTCACTCATTCCCTCAATAGAAAGATATTCAAATTGAATATGATGATTTCTAAGCCACCATCCAGCACCAATTTCTGTGATTTCATAATTCATATTCATTTTCCTAATAAATATATCCATAGTAGATGAAAAATAAACTATATTGAAACATAGAGTTGATAATGGATCTACGCAATAATCGTCAACAAAGTTTTGTTATGTAAAATGAGTTGATGTTTACTATTGGGATTTTTCACAATCCGCTTCTTTACCTGTTAGGATCATTACAGGGGATCCAGTTTACTTGAGGGTGTGGGATATCCTCCAAGTACGGGTAGAGAGATTCCCTGTTGAAGTTCCAGCCATAAATACCATCTTCTGGGGTCACTATAATATGTGCGCCCTGTCAAAAATGAAGCTTAATTAAAATATTCCTCATGTAGGCAGTCAAAGAGGGGTCCTGCAAGAGGAACTGAGGAACCAAGTGGCTAACAACCATTTGGGCTTTTCCCTCTTTTTCACCTTATTCCTTTGTTTTCTATATTTGTATAATTTATTTTCTTCTCCCAAGCACTTTAATTTTCTAATCCTGCCATCATCAATTCCATATAACTTTTTCATCCTTTCATAGACATTAACAGTTTTCCAGGCCACTCATGGCTCTGCCTCCCATTGCTATCGTTAACTAAATATAAACCCAGCTCTTTCTGAAATCAACCCCCTCCCTGAACTTTGGTGGATGGTTGCGCCAGACGGTGTCAGGATTGATTTATAAATCAAAGTCTCCGTTTACTTTCTCCTCTGCCCCAGCCTTCCTCTGCACCATACCCTGCAAATACGATTCCTGCTCCTTATTAAGAGAGGGGTCACACACTGTGTACCTGAACTGTGCTAAGCCTACAGGTGCTGCCTGAGCTAACCTGGGCACCTTCTGATTGGAGAGTCACCTTGAAAGCTGCTATGGACTTCCAGGAAATAGTTGGACTAATTACGAGAAAGAATATCAGAACTCCTGATAACCTTTTAAATTTCAGTATATATAAGAAGATATATTGATAGACATATGTAATATATACGTAACCACAACTTTCATCACACTTCATAGAGTCATGAGAACCACACGTATGGTGTATTATTAGCTTTAAACTTAGCTCTTGATTCAACTCAAGGGCTTATTATGCATTCACATATATGCTTTTTCTTGTAATTAAAATGAAACAGGAAGAATATAATACATACTGGTAGGTCATTTGCAACTTAAGCTTAATTGTTGTCAACTTGTAAACTTACATAAAAAAAAAAACCCCTGCAAACTCTTAAGAGCACGAGCGTCTATTCAAGGCCACTAATATTCTAAGAATAGCACCTGGTCCCTCATCCATTTATTATCCTCCAACCTCCATCTGTAGCAGAAAAGAGGAACAAAGATGTTGAATTTCCAGCCAATTCCTCAAAAGTCTGCTGCTTCTTAATGATAACGAAACCATCCTTTTTCTTAACTTTGCTCTTACTGTTAGGAAAGTGTAATATTATCCTTGCTGTAGTAATTTTGAGAGGAAAGTAGGATTTTTAACTATAGAACAAAGTTTCTTGGCCACCTTTATACATATGTCACCCAAAAGTGTAACTGATCCTGGTAGGGATCCTACCCGCTAGGATCCCCTCCTTTCTCCCAGAATCCACTGGAGACCTGATAGACACGTACCTGCTCCGCTGCTGACGCGATCGCTCCTTCCAAAAGATCCAGATTCCGATTCATTAACGCCAGCGCCTCCTCACGAGACACTGGTGTGAGGCTGGTATTAGGCAATAGCACCGCATGCTCATAAACAGCTGCAATAAAAGTGTCCAGAGAGCTGGTTTTTGAGACACAGAAAACCAAAATCGCCACATAAGCCAGCGACGGAGAAGTGATCATGCTGAAGTCCAGTGACTGCTGAAAACAGAGCAGCACGTCCTGATAGTTACAAAGCGAAAACACGTGGTTCCCAGAACTCAGTGCCTTGAAAATAAATTACAAAATCTAATTTTAAGAAAAACTTTTGACTTCACACCAACAACAAAAGACCCTCCCTTATGGCAAGGATTTGTGAGAATTAAATCAGGAAATTTATGTATATTAGTTTGCTAGGGCAGCCTAACAAAGGCCCACAAACTGGAAGGTATAAACAGCAAAAATGTATTGCCTCACAATTCTGGAGGTTAGGAGTCCCCAGCAGGGTCGTTTCCTCCTGTGGCGGCGAGGGAAGGCTACGTTCCAGGCTTCTCTCTTTGACTTGCAAATGGCTGTCTTCTCCCTGTGTCTCTTCAGATAGCGTTGTCCCGTGTGTGTGTCTCTGTCCAAAGTTCCCCTTTTTATAAGGACGCCAGTCATTCGATTTAGTGCCTACCTTATTCCATATGACCTTATCTTAACTAATTAGATCTGAAACGACCCCATTTTCAAAAGAAAAGCTCACATTCTGAGGTATTGGCCATTAGGACTTCAGCTGTTGGGGCTCAGAAAACAGTACCCCAAAATGAAAGCCTCAGAGGCAAAAGTTTTTCTCTGACCTTCTCCTGTCCTCCTGTCTCTCAGTCTCACTCTCACCTGAGGCTAGCCGTAGAAACTGGAATCCGTCTTCCCCAAGGTTGGTCATAGAGACCAGAAGTCCTTTTCCAAAAAGCCAGCCATAAAAACTAAAATTATTCTGTGTAAAAACTGACCATAAAGAAATTATCTGACCTGCCTTGTTTGACTGTAGGTCATCAGACCCCCATTCCACGTGCTGCTCCGCACCCCGAAAGGAGAAACGCACGCACAGACAGGCCAGGAAGAATCCAGACAGACAGGACTTGCTGGGTTTCCCCGCTCAGTTTATTTGCATTACAGCTTACTTACCCTTTTTGTCTAGTCATATTTCTACATGCTTGTCCATACTTTATTGAATCTAAGCATAAAAATGGACAACTTCCCCTGCATATTTGGGTCTCCATTCTGAAGGCGCCATGTATACACATTAAATAAACTTGTATGCCTTTTCTCCTGCTAATCAATCTGCCCATATCAGCGATTTTCAGTGAAACTTTAGAGGGCCCAGGGCCTTGCTTCCTTATACAACATATGAATTTTTAAAGTCAATATGTTTCAGAACTTCAATGCATAACAATATGTATGATTTGAAGAATAGATAGCTTTATAATTTTGAAACTATTATTACTATCCTCATGTACATATTTGAGCTCCACAGTTTCATTCACTCTAGTTTCCTCAAAATTGAGAAGCCGGGACAAAGAGGAACACAAAAGAATTATTCATTATCTATTGCTATATAACAAATTACCCCCAAATTCAGTGGCTTCTCAAAGGAAACACACATTCCTCTGGTCAGGAATCCCGAGGCAGTTTAGCTGGGTGCCTCTGGCTTAGAGTCTCTTTCACAAGGCTGCAACCAAGCTGCCAGCAAGGTGAGTTATCTCAAGGCTGGACTCCAAGAGGATTCACTTTCAAGCTCCAAGCTCCCCTCACGTGGCACAGGGCAGGGCTCAGGACCTCACTGGCTGTTGCCCAGGGACGTGAGTTCCTAGCGATGACACAGGCTGAGCTCACCATAGGGCAGCCCACATTATGGTTACAGCCCACATTATCAGAGCCAGGGAGCAAGAGAACCCCCCCAAGATGGAAGGCACAGTTTCTGTGTAATCTCATCTGGAAGTGACACCTCATCACTTTTGTTGTGTTCTATGCATTAAAAGCAAGTCAGTAGGTAGGTCCAGCCCACACTATGGGAGGGGATTACCCAAGGGCATGAATGAGCCTGGGATTCCAGGGACAATCTTAGGGGCTTCATCCCACAGAGGCGACAGCGAGGGAGGTATTAAGAATGGGATCTAGCGAGCAAGAGCCAGAAAGAGGAGAGGAAAATAATATGAAATGAAAAAAAGTTTACAGATTTTGATATGGAATAAGTAGGCAAATTTTGTTTCTATTGTGGATTAAGCATAATATTTACAGAATTAGTGTTTATGATTACCCATTTTATTTTTAGGGATATTTGATTTTGAATGGTGTTTTTACAGTTCTAATTGCATAGAGGCATGTCTGATTTTTCACTTCAGTAACTATAATGAATATATAACCCAGAGGTCGTGGTTCCCTGGTCCTCCTGAGTCACCAGTAAACAAGAGCTCCCTCGGACTGCCTGCTGACCCTCCATGGCACCTGTGGACCTTCCACACCCAGGCGGGCGGGGGTACTATTAATACATACTTCGCAAGGAGACGTAATTGTTACATAATATTTATGAAAGAAAGCTCTGAAGTAAAAGTTAAAACTGGAATGAGTCACCGAGAGGTTAAAAAATTCCGTCTTTGACCTTCTTAGGTTAAAAATATTAATTAAGAATCTCCCACTGAGGTTTCTTTCCAGTCCAGCTTGTACAAAGCTTGGCACTCCTCTAGCCCATCCTCACAGGAAAAAAGCTGAACAACAGAAAATCACAACTTTTCTTACACGCTTGAGAGCACCGAGGTCATATTATAAACTGCTACTCCCAAAATTGGAGAGACAGGCAAATACGGAAGATAAAAACTTACTGGGGCTGAGTCCTGTGCTGCCAGTACCGTATCTTAAGGATTGCTTGGATTGAAGTTGGTGAATTGCCGGAGGAGGCTCCGTGTGGACAAACTTCAGAGTGCTGTTCTGTTTTCCTCAAGGGAAAGCATTTTACCATGGCCTAACCTACCTGGGGGGAGGAAAAACTGCAACTCCAACCCCTCTAACCTTTGACATGGGGGAAGGGACAATCCCAGCTCTAGCTACCTTTCTCTGGTTTGTTCTTGTCCCAGCTAAGGGCGGAAGAAAAAACATGGAAAAGCACTTGTGAAGGTCACAGCCCAGAGGTATAGGCTTATTGAAAGATTGAGACTGAATCATATAACCCTTCCCCTCCCCCAACACATCACCACCACGTCAATCTGGCATTTTTGGTCTACCTAGCATGTACTAGACAAGTGCAAGTTTTCAGATGAAATGTTGCAGTTCTCGCAGTGTGGGACACACAGTCCTTAGCTGGGGTCCCTGATCCCTAAGGCCACTACATCCTTACTGCCTGCCAAGCTCCCCAAATGCAATCCTTCTACTCGTACAGAGTAGAGACCAGGGGAATTGTCTCCAACAAAACAACTTTGCATGTAGACAAAAGGCCTAATCGATGCCTCCAGACTCCTCCAACCAAGCCTGCATGGATGGAGTAGATTGCCTCTTGTGAGGAAAACGTGACATCCCGCTGCCTAGCCTAGGGACAAGACCCACACTGGTTTGGACTTTGCTGACAGAGTAGTGATGACACCAACCCAGCCAGCAGGTCCCACAAGGAACTCAGAAGCAAGTCCTGTGCAGCTCAGTCAGAGAGAAACCAGACACAGGAAAAAAGGAGAGGAGAACAAGGACTGAGTGAGGTAGGCCCTGCCTCTCCTATACCATCTGGTGAACTCTGAAGAGCCATGTGCACACGTGTGTATATGTGTGCACACAGTGTGTGATACAAGACTAGAAGTCTGCCTCTACATTGCTACTAAACATATATGCCTATATATTAACATTTAATGACTATAACACCCGTCAATTCTCTTGTTGACATTAATCTGGTTGATAAAGTTGTTTTATGCTGCAAGAAGACATATTTTTGCCATAAGACTTAATATGACTAGTTTTACATTTTTTTAATGTGGCTTGAACTAGCTCTCTTGAGAAAAAAATTATTTCTCTCGCCAGCAAGTTATACTCTACTGGACCATAAGTTGAAGCCATGAGAGTGGCTTTGCTCTCCAAAGAAAGATTTTACATGAAGAAAACACAACTGTGAGAGCTGAGTCTAGCAGAGCTCCTCATATATCGATCATGGTAAATAAAATAAGAAATGAGGTGGGGGAAGGGAAGAGAGGCAAGAAGTCAAAAAAAATAAAAAGGATAAGATATCGAAAGGTGGAATCCTGGGATCGGAGTGTCATAGTCCCTGGAGAGAGAATCCAGGGAAGATGGGATGGGGAGACTACAGGCATTATCTGCCACTCAGAATGTCTGCAACTTCCTGTGCTGGGTTGAATTATACTGAGTGGGAACAAACGCCTAAGACAAGTCCAGGAATGTGGTTGTTATCATTTTTGTTAGGGTAAAAGGTGTCTCCAAACTCAGTGAACCTCCACTGCTCCTACACATCCCAAGGAACCCACACGCTCTCCAGCGTGTCCCTTCCCAGAGTTAATCAGTGACCAACCAGTGAAAGGACTCAGAGAGCCGAGACAATGGACCAAAGGTAACTGGGGAAAAGGTGACACAACGGCCCTGTCTAAGGAGCTCCCAGCCCGGCACAGCCTGCAACAGACCCAGGAGCACTAGCAGATGGCTCACCCGTAGATCTTAGGATAGAATAATTTCAGAAGGAAACAAGGTGTGGTCTGAACGAGATAATTTACTTCTTTTTTATTTCCATTCCAAGTATCTAATTTCCATACAAATAGACCATAGGAGTCAGAAAAGTTATGATAAAAAGATAATGGAACAATTTTAATTAGCTAGAAATTTGTTCATAATTACTTTAAAGGATGTCTTTGTTCTTTAATTTACTATATATTAATTGACTGGGATCAAATACCCTCTGTATATTCAAAGTTCACCCTGTGTATTTGCAAATGAAGTGTACTAGTCAGGGTTCTCCGGGAAAGAGAAGCAATAGGGGATATGTATGTATATCACCTATTTATATATATATATTGATATAGATATATAGATATAGTTATAGATACAGATATAGATATAAAGAGGTTTATTGTAAGGTATTGGCTCCTACAATTATGAAGGCCGAGAAGTCCCACAGGCTGCCACCTGCAAGCTGCAGACCCAGGAAAGCCAGTGGTGTAGTTCAAAGGCCTGAGGGCTGGAGAGCTGATGGTGGCAATTCCAGCTCAGGTCTGAAGGCCTGAGAACCAGGAGCACCCAAAGGCAGGAGAAGAGCTGTGTACAGCTCAAGCAGCCAGACAGAAAACAAATTCAACCTTCCTCTGCCTTTTTGCTCTATTCAGGCCCACCCACAGTGGGGAGAGCCAGTTGCTTTGCTAAGGCCACCAACTCAAATGCTAATCTTTTCCTGAAACACCCTCACAGACACCCCCAGAAGTGATGTTTCACCAGGTATCTGGGCATCCATGGCCCAGTCAAGTTGATTCATGAAATTAACCATCCCATGATGGGAACAACATTTGCAAATGTTAAAGTAGTGGCTGCAAAAGGATTGTTCCAGGACTTCTTCCCATTTAAAACACGTTCCACTGCACTTACACATACTTACATATTCTTAAACACACAAACATAGAAGACAACTCCCATAAATGAGGTTGTGCTATGCCAAATATGTAAAATGTAAGATTTACCCACACATCCATTGCTTTTTAAATCTTCTTAAGTTTATTTGTTGTTTTGGTGAGTGTATGACATCTACTCTAAACAGATACTAAGGGCTCTCTTTTTTTTCTTCCTCTCTTTGCCAGGCTAATGCAGAAAGGGCCCTGGTAAAGGACATCATTGTAACTTCCCAGGTCCCTGCCCTAAGCGGGGAGGGTCCTTCTCAAACACTCTTCCATACAGGGCCATAACTAAGACAGGCAAAGGGGCTCCACTTCGGCTCCTCAGACGTCCATCTCTTGAAACCTGGTCAAAGAAAGCAAAGGATTAACTCCAATGCAGGGCTGCGTTTCCAGCCGCAGGCCTTCTCTGGAGACAAAGCAGTGTAGAATAGTAAAAATCACAGCGTTTGGTGTCAGAAGACCCAGATTCCTCTTTCAGGTCCAATAGTTGAGGGACTTTGGTGAAAGTGCAGCAAATAAATCTGTTACACAGGTGGTCAAATAAGATAATATATTCAAAAGTGTTCCTTAAACTCATGAATCACAGTGCAAAGTATTAGCTATTAGTATCATTATAACAACTCAAAATAACAGACCCACAAAATAAGTTGTAGATGTATTACTTAATGTACTTAACTTGAACTTTCCAAACCAGGCAGATGAAAAGGACATTAGTTGCCATTATCAGCGATCAATATTTTTACTTTAATTTCTCTATGTTGCCTCAGATCTCAACATCACATCTATGCAGAGAAATGAACCGCAAATTCTCCATCACAGCCTAAAGTCAATGTAAAACCACAACTTGTGTTTCATATCACAGTTTCCATGTTTTTAAAGTGTCTCATGTAGAATGTGAACCACGATATTGGGATACTTTCATTATTTCAAAGATTTCATTATGTTGGTCTACCCTGTCTGCTTGAAGAAATTTATCATCCTGAAAAACCTCCTACCTCATAGTGCCTTTCAGGGGCAAGCTGACTCCCACTTAGAACGATCTGTGGGAAAACATAACTTGTTCCAAACGTGCCACTGAGGGAAAATTCTTCAAACGTGGTAAAAGCTGACCCCACGGGCTCTCCACAAGTTCTCACGTCGGTGGTTTGACACTTCAGTAACACGCATACCTATGTAGGAAGAAAAAAGAGGAGTCCGAAAACTCGTAAATGTTTTCTCAGCTAAACAACGCAATTTCAAAGAATCGAGGAATATTTAAGTTGCCCTGTAAGCAGCATTTTTCAAACTGCATGTCACAACTTATTAGTGAATCCTAAAATCAATTTAGTAAGTCAGCATTAGCTCTTTTTTTCTAAATGAAGCCAAGTAGAATAGACTAGAATTTTTAAAATCAGAGTGCGTTGCACATAATTATAACTGTTTCTAATTTTAATTTGAACTATTTCATAAACTGTTTCAATTAAATCTCCCTTTTAACTCGGTCACACATCCAGTTGGCTACACTGGGCCTGATGTAAAGCATCCTTCTTAGTGTAGACTCTAGTTGAAGACAGTTTGAAAAACACTACTCTGAAGTAACCCAATTGAACAGGAGAATGCACGAAAGTTGTAGCTTTGTAAACTTGAACCTGGCCTGCTAAGAACTAATCAATCTGCCTTATGTTTTTGCCTTGCAGCCATAAGAACTAATTCTGTTCTTGCCAAGACTGAACAAATAAAGTGTTCTGGGGACAAAAGTCAGTGATAAAGGCAGCATTATACCATTTAACTGAGTCCAGCACAATTTGCAAAGAAAGGCAATGATGACCTAGAAGAAAAACTAATAATAAGGCCATTCTAACATATTTAAGCATTTCTACCTGCAAGTAATATTGGCCTTCTACTGTGTGCAGTCCATCAAAAGCACCTAGTGCATAGACCTCATCTGTTCGCTTCTCAGACATCTTGTAAGTTAAGTGACAACACAGGTCTTTTTGGCAAACTGTGTAATTTCCTGTGTTTCTCTTAAGCTCGGTGAAGGTGAACTCATCAAAATAAATCATCCCTGGAAATTCTGACTGCTCAGAGGAGAATGGCTTGACACTTCCAGCATAAGCCTGCCAGTCAACAGCTGCCGGGTAGGTGGGCTCACAGCGAGGTCGAGACTTCAACTCTGATAGCATCAGCTGGCCACTCTCTGTTTCCATGTCATAGTGATACACCTTGACGGCTTCTGGGGCGTAAATTCCACTCCCTACGGGCAACATAAAGAAACACAAATATTGGTTTCATATTTTTTTATGGTGACAAACTAATAGAATATTCTCATATGAGTATTTCTTTTTATTTCTTTAAATAGAAAATTATTAAAGCATAAACGTTTTCAAGATAGCTGTAGAGATAGCTGTGACATTGGCATAAGTTCCAATTTGATGCTGCGTCCTCCATAAGGTACTACTTGCACTAAATTATCATTTGAAATGGAGAACTTGTTTTTTGGGTTTTTAAATGTAAACTACCCTTTTCTCTTTTCTTTTCTTTTCTTTTCTTTTCTTTTCTTTTCTTTTCTTTTCTTTTCTTTTCTTTTCTTTTTTTCTTTTCCTGCCCTGCTGAGTAGCTGGGACTACAGGCATGCAACATCACACCCAGCTAATTTTTTTATTTTCTGTAGAGACAGGGTGTAGCTATGTTGCTCAGGCTGGTCTCGAACTCCTGGCCTCAAGCAATCCTCCCACTTCAGCCTCCCAAAGTGCTGGGATTACAGATGTGAGCCACTGCACCCAGCTCCCCTTCTTAAGCCAACTTAACAAAAAAATAGAAAATTCCAAACATGAGAAATAATTTTAGCTCTCCACTGACTATTTCATTTGTTCATGTTTAGAATTCTCATCTGGATCAATGAATAACAAAGCAGTCAAGAGGAGAGCTTGCATTACCTTGAACATAAATACTATAAAGGATAAACTCTAAAAATATGATCATTTCTAAAGTGATCTTACCACCTTGACAAACAAGATTTATTCCAATATTACTAATAGACACTGGCTGGGAAGTTCCTTAGATCTGGCTTTGATATTTTACATGACTAGACTTCTCTCCAACTCCAATTTCCCATCAAGTAAAATTGAGATAATAATGTTTGCCTCCTTTACTCAAAAGGATAGTGTTCCTTAGCAGAAAGCCATGCTATCATTAATTTTGTGATGTTAGAGTTATTAAGAGAATCGTTAAAGAAAAGTGTGGCTTGAAAATCCATGAAGATTTGCTAAGACGGTCGCTGCCACTTGGCCCCTGAGTTACCTGTCATGTGCATGCTGGTGTTGTGGGTATTTGCAGCAAGGAGATTGACTCGCATGGCTCTGGCCCACGCAGAGTGGAACGGAACTGCTGAGAGGAGGGGCAGCGTGTTGTACCATGCTGTGGGGAGGAGGACACTGTCCACTTGAAACTCGTCCACCACCACGATAGCCGGGTCATGAGAAAAAATGTCAAAGCAAGTAAAAATGCCAAACTTCCCAAAGGGAGTGTCAAATGTCACAGATTCTGAATCCTTGGGGAAATCAAATTGAATTTCAGGTGCAAAAAGATTGTACTATTAATAAAAAGCAAAGAAGGGGAAAATTGGTAAGAAAATTGTCAAATAGATGTGATCAATACCCAAATCTTTTTTCCCATGTATGTTGACATGCACATTTAAGACTGTTACACATAAATTTGCATAAACCATGCTTACCGTCCCACTATCTATGAGTTTTCTTGCTGTGATATCAATCAAAAATTTTCATTTTTCAATAACCAGTGAATGAAATCATATCTACAAATGATATTTAAAATGTGAATATTTCTATATTCAAAAGCAAAGGTTGAAATCTTGAATCGTATGATTTGCAGATTGTTTTCCACTGTATTCTTTACATTTCAACAGCACTGCCTGGGTGAAATCTAAAACATGTTAATAAAATAAACTTTGTCATGTGTCCCTATGATACTGCTAGGTTTATAGAAGCAAAGTCAACTTAAAATTAATTTAGACAATGCAATAGCTACTTCTTACTAATTAGTAAATTTAATATATATGTGTGTATATATATATGTATATACACACACATATATATATATAGTGTGTGTGTGTGTGTGTGTGTGTGTGTGTGTGAGAGAGACAGGGTCTCTCTTAGTTGCCCAGGCTAGAGCACAGTGGCATCATCATAGCTCACTGCAACCTCAAACTCCTGGGCCCAAATGAGTCTCCTGCCTCAGCCTCCTGAGTAGATGGAACTTCAGGTGCACGCCACAAGGCCCACTAACATTTTTTATTTTTTGTAAAGACGAGGTCTTGCTGTGTTGCCCAGGCTGGTCTTGAAATCCTTGCCTCTGATCCTCCCTCCTTGGCCTCCGAAAGTGCTGGGATTACAGGCATGAGCTATCACACTCAGGCAGCAATTTCATTTTTTTTTTCAGCCTGATTATTGCTCCAAAACTCCATTGACCTGGGCTCAGGTGTACGGCATATGTTTTGCTCAGGTTTTCATTTGGCCTGACGTGTGCATACACGTGCTCTGGCAACAGGGACCCCCAGCCCCATGGACCACTGAGGCCCTTTCACTCCTCCATTCTCCTCCCATGTGGAAGCCCCTCCTTCACCCTTCATCTTTCAGGAAAGGCATGTGGCCTAATTGGAATCAAGGAGTGATAAGGCCTTTGCAGGGTTTCTAGGAGAGAGAGACACACTTTCCCTGTGGATGTTGTTCATAAAGATGTGAACTTCGTGCTGCTGTAGCTGTTGGCTTCTAAAGGAGAGTACCCTGGGAAAAAGCTGTAGCAAAGGGCTAGGACAGCTAGAGAGATGGATGACCTCTTCTGAGCCTCCGAGGGACAGCCTGCACCTGAAATGAGACCTATTCTTTATATTTTTTTAGATGGAGGAAATTCTCCTCTTTTTTTAAAGCCTATTTCAGTTGAGGTTTTGTTCTCATTGCAATCAAAAAAGGCCTAATATAACACATGGTAGCTTAGTATGAAATGTTAAAAAATTGGGCCATAAAACCTCTGATATTAAATCATGAATGAAGCGGAGCATTTCTTCTTTTTTTCTCAGAGAATATTAAAATCTTTGTGAGACTATTATCACATCCATTTTTAATATTCTGTCATATTCTATTTTATGGCTAATTCAAACTCAGAACCCTTATATGGAACTGAAGTAAATTAAATTAAATTAAATCCTCTTTTCAACTAGAATGTAATAATTAAGAGACACATCTATGAGAGTTCTCTCCCCAACATTCAACAAACAAATGTACCTACATACCACAAACAAACAGAGGAAGTAAATCGAGTTTAGCTGAGGCACAGGTAAGTCTCACCTTATGGTAGCGCGCCACCAGCCTACCCCGAGAATCAAACACGACATCAGTGTTGTATTGGTAACGGCCATCAGGAGGACACTGAGGGTCACTGGTGTTGCACGCCTTCTTGTCCCCAATATTTGCCACAACGTAGATAGAGTTCTCCTTGGCCAGGCAGCTGAGTCTTGCTTGCACTGGTGTGTAGCCAAATCTAATTCAACAGACATTTCCTCAAACTCACTATATTTTAGTGATTTCTGAAATGCCAAAGTGATATTTTATTTGTCTGTCACCTATAACACAACTGGTCTAGGTCAAGAATCAACAGAAAAGATTTTAAAAATCACATGCAATGTAGTGTTCATCTTCGTGAAAGCTAACCTATTTTAATGTGCCAGACTCCAGATTATAGAGCAAGACTGAAGCACAGAAAAGATAAAAGAAGAGGAGGAAGAGAAGCAGGCAAAGGAAGGAAGGCAAAGCAAGGGCTTGAAATCTAGCAGGCTCTTCGAATGGGAAGGACCTTGTCTACAATCCAAGCCATAGTATTACAAATACACTGCTATGCCACGTGGTTGGAAACACGAATACCAGGTAGCAGTAAATAGCTGGTCCCCTGTGCATCATCTTCTGTAGAGAACAAATGTGGTGTTATGTAGTAGAAATGTTTTGTTTTTTTAAAACAAAACAAAACAAAAGCACTGCACTGTGCTGGCTCAGTTTCCTCATCTGTCAAATGTAACGTAATAGCTTCCTTCTGCTTTCGAGAGTCCTCGCGAGAAATCCTGAGATAAATACAGACATGAAATTCCTTTGCAAAGGAATGCCAAATCCATCCACGTTGGGGACATTTATCCTAGAAGTAAAAGGGAATGTGGCCAGGGGATAGCTGGCTTCAAATATGTGAAAGGCTCAATATGGAGGAGATGGCTTGCATATGTGAATGTAATACAGAGTGCAGAACAAAGGGGAAAAGAAGTTATAAGGAGGCAGATTTCTGCAGAAAATAAGATAAAAAAAAGTTTTAGCAACCAGCTCACTCTGTCAAATAAATGGATTTGCTAGTCACCGAAAATTTCAGTATACTATGGTATATGCAGGCACTTAGAGTCCATTCAGTTAGCAGAGCTTAATGGAAATGGCTGTTTTAATTTCAGCCAACCTAATTACCAATTATAAGACCTTAAGCTTCCTTTTCTTCTCATATGTAAAATGCAAATAGTAATATCTACTACTTAAATTGAATGAGATAATGTGCATAGTACACCAGGTACAGTTCCTGGGACCAAGTAAATGTTCAATAAATAAAAAGTGGCTATTAGGGATGTTGTAATTACAAGAAGGCAGCCCAGGGTAAGGATGGCTGTATTGCTTTTTGAAGCCATTCAGAGTCTCTCCATGATCTCTCAGCCCCTCAGCAATTTATTTCAAGCTAATCTTTAAGTTAAAAGTACAGGCAGGGTGCAGCAGCTCACACCTATAATCTCAGCACTTTGGAAGCCCAACACAGGAGGATCACTTGAGCCTGGGAGTTTGAGACCAGCCTGGGCAACATAGCAAGACCCCAGATCTACAAATAAATTTAAAAAATTAGCCAGGCATGGTGGTACCAGCTACCTGGAAGGCTGAAGTGGAAGGTTTGCTTGAGCACAGGAGCTCGAGGTTACAGTGAGCTATGATTGCACCACTGCCCTCCAGACTGGGCAACAGAGTGAGACCCTGTCTCTAAAAAATAAATACTTAAATAGGACAAATTAAATAATCTACTGGTTCAGACCTTTTCTTTTATTCCTTCAAGAAAAACAGGGAAATACTATCAATATTCTTATTCACTCGAACCTGTCTGTCATACACTTGACTTCATTTTTCTTTTCTTGGATAAATAATTCAGGTTCTTTAGTATTTCCTATTAGTTCCTCATGAAAAAAGCCCAAAGAAGTGTTCGACTTGTCAGCATTCTAAATAGCACTATTAAATACACAAGGATGGCCACGTGACCCTCAGTTATCCCTTTCAGGATAAATATTACTGGGGAAGAAACTGGTTTTCTTTTCCAATACTATCATTATATTAAATACTGAATTTCTGCTTTTTATAACACAGAACTAAAAGCTTACCATTTGAATAAGTATGTGCAACACTCCACAATGTTTCATCAGTCAATTACCTTCCCAACTGAAAATAATTCATCTGTGGCTAATTATCAGATTAAGTATATCTTTCCCCTAGGAAAGTCAGTTTTATCAGCACAGTCAAGTAGGGTGTGTTTTAGCGCAAGCCTCATGAATTACGGCAAATAATGATTCCTTCCTGTTTGGGGAAAAGCCTCATAAGGAAATAACTGTTGAGTCATAGTTACATGGTTTCTGTAAACACCGACTATGCAACATTTACAGGATAATTTTGCAAAGGTAAAAATTCCAGGGAGAGAATTGACTCTCTTAGCAGAACTCGAATGTTGTAGCATTGAACTTGACTTTCCAATTGATTTCTCATAGTCAAAATTATCAGAGAAGTTCCTCTTTTTATGCAATAGATGTAGTTCTAAACAGGCTCATGTACAGCAAATTATATTACTTTTTAATGTATCGATTTCATCATTTAAAGGCACTACTTACAAACCTTTCATTTTGGGTAGACAAGGTGTTGCTATGTTGCCCAGGCTTGTCTCAAACTCCGGGGCTCAAGTGATCTTCCTGCCTTGGCCTCCCAAAGTGCTGAAATTACAGGCATGAGCCCCCATGCTCAGCGACATTTGAACTATTTTAAAAAGTTAATATAATCTATTTTATACATTTTTCTTATTTATTATACATTTTTTCTTTAAGAAAATTTTGTCTAAACTGCAGCTATTAATAATTACAAAAATCTCTCTAAGAACAAGAACACAAACAAGTTCAGACTCAGTTTTTTTCTATTATAAAAAAGTAATGGTGATAGCTAGCACTGGAGAGCACACTACAGTGTACAAATTTCATGTGTATTACTTCATTTAACGCTCTTGTTCATTCTGTAAGGGAAGTAGAACAGAAAATTTATTATCCCTGTTTTACAGATAGAAACAGAAACATCAAGCATTTAGGTTATATGAGCCCACATCACTCAGCTATGAGGTTATAAAATGTGGTCTGAGAAACAGTGCTTCCTTTTTCAAGTTCTATGCAATTTCCATTCACCATATTGATTACATTGAATGATAATGACAGTACAGTTCTTTGGAAACATAGATTCATTCATCTTTTTACTATTCCTATGAAAGAGGCAGGTGTTCATTGATGAACCAACTTACTTGTATTTGGTAACACAAGTGCTAGATATTACAACTTTCTCACTATGTTGAAACCCAATTAAATGCATGTATTATAAAAATTATGTATATATACACTATTCTTTAAAGACAATTGCAACAAATAACCAACCAAAGCATCATTTTCTCAAGTCATTTACCAAACAGGAGATATGCCAGATGATATACATCATGATGCATTAGAGATATCTAAATCCTATGCCATAGATTGACCATTTGTCAACAAAATTACTAGTCAAGCTTAGTGAACTTACTGTTAGTATTTTACAATATCACAACTTTTTGTTTAAAAATTGAAGGATAATGACAAGACTTACCTCTGGGGGTCTCTGCATGGAATCCAGTTCACTTCAGGGTCTGGTATATCCTCCAGATAGGGGTAAATGCTCTCCCTCGTAAAGACCCAACCATACATTCCATCTTCTGGGGCCACAATGATGTGTGCACCCTAGTCAAAACAAGTGGGACAAAACAGTTTCCCATGAATTCCAAATACTCGCATTCTCACCAAGTTGCAAACCTCCTTTACGATATCCCACCCAGTATTTTAAAAAAACGTCAATACCTGCTTGGCTGCCAACTTAACTGCCTCCTCCAAAACATCTATGTTCTTGTTCATCAGGAGCAAAGCTTCTTCTTTTGAAACAGGTGTTTCTGTGTTGTTTGGTAATATAACAGCATGCTCATATACCGCAGCAATAAAAGTGTCCAGTGCGCCAACACTCAGGACAAAGAGGGCAAAAAGTGCCACACATTTTGGAAAGTATGATCTAATCATAGCTAAAATTCAGTGATCTTTCAAAAACAAACTTAGATTCTTATATTTTGTTTCACTGGAAAAATTTTACATTAAGTCCCTTCCAGCAACCAGTTATATTTCTTTTCTCATTAATACATTACACAACTCAGCGTTGAGAAAGGATATTGTGCAAGAAAACTGACAGCCAGAAGCACATAATTGGATTGTGCAGTGATGTTGTTGTCATTGCCCATAGGTCAACCCAACTGTAAAAGTAGAATGATGAGCCAACCAGATCAGTTCACCCCAGTCCAAAACACACTGGAGGTTGAACTCTTTTAATAAAATACATTTTCCTGGTAAATGATTTTTTTCATTAATAGATGCAACAGTGGACAGTTCTAGAGATAGCCACCAACGCGACAATTTGTTGAACACTCACTTAGATGACTCTACACCCATTTCTCCCTTAAGACTCTTGCTCTCCATCTGTCTAAACTCCAGCTCCTCATAGAGGTCTCCCAAAGCCACTTATGTCCTAAGTGTTATTTCTGAACTCTTACAGCAAATTTTTTCCTGTACTTTTAAATGTCTCTCACTGCTTGCTGTTGTCTTGACCTTTAATTTAAATCTTATACTGATTCTTAATTTTGTATACACATGCCTTATTTTCTTAAAGAGATTAAAAGGAATCTTAATGTTTTCTTCTAGGACATCCATGTCTAATAATCATCTAGAGATGATGCATCCCAGGGGTGTGATCCCTGGAACGTAAGGAAAGCGTCCTGCTCACTGCTGAACCTCATCACCCCAGCACATGTGTGACAGGTGGTGGGAGCCCAATACATGAATGGATGTTGAATGAAGGGGTCTACTACCTGACAGGTCAATCTATGCCATGTTTGAACATTGCAAACTTTTAGAACATTTTTTCTTATGTTAAGATGTAATTTACTCCATCTATCTTCCACAATCCTGCTGCAATATAATAGACTATGAGATAATTCAGAGGGTTAAATTCTCTCTTAAATCTTTTACTTTTCAGATGTATCACCCTTTAAGTTCCTTAAGGACAGGGGCCACATTACAATTCTCTGCTGTTCCTTTGGAATTTTACACTGTGCTAGGCTCTGTAGGTGCTTAGCACTCAATTTCCTTGCCTAATTTTGGATTGGATCCCCTTGTTTGAATATGAGTTGATTTAAAACATAGAGTTTCTTTTGAGGTGTAAATCTCTGATTCTGGAGTCATTAATACTATTTCTCTCTTGGGATTCTTTCTAATCTTCATCTGATCTAAGGAAACTTGTAAATTTTGGAGATTTGTTGTTGGGGGTTGTTTGGTTTGGTTCTATAATTCAAAGTCCCTCAGTTCTAATACCCTTTTCCATTATAATATGCCTTCTTCCAGGTACCCCACTGTGCTTCCATATGACCTTATGCCCTGAAATTGTACCCATCAGACATCAATTCTTTCAGAATAAATATTCAAGGACAAGAAGGAAACTGTGTAAGACAGGTTGCTTTGTGATAAGAAGAAAAATATTTTCATATTTCAAATTGAAATTCTAACTCTTGCCTTGGTTCACTTGACTTTCTGAATAGAATCAAAAAGAAACATGAGAATTCCCCTTGATTCTCCCAGGCCCTAATTCCAGGAAGTGTACCAGCTTTTTATTGTGTTGAAATCAATAGAAACTTGAGTTGAGTGTTCCATTACCAAATGTGGTTAGTAACGACTTTGCTTCACAGGTATGTAAGGAATCAGGATTGCGGATACAAGTTATTTTAAACAAGGTATTTGTATATAATCCAAACGATAGGTTGGAATTATTGTGGGAGTAGAAAGTTTACAGTCTGAAGTTTTGTATTAAAGTAAATATAATTCTTCTTTTAAATACATAAGGGACAAATTTTAAAGGGGAGAAGAGGTCCTGGAATAAAATCTCAGAGAGTCTTTATTTCTAATACTCACTGTAAAACCTCCTTCAAACCCACTGTCAAGGTCTTGACCCCAGGAGCAAGAATCCCTCTTACAGTCTCTCCACTGATCCCACTCTTCCCACTCTAACCTCAACACTGTAATTCATTTGCGTTCCCTTAACCATTGCTTCCGTTAATTAAGATGCTTCCCATGTGTGTATGGAATCAAGGCAGACAATCAGGCCTTCTTGTACCTGGTCACATTTCATCTTTCTTATTCTTAGCTAAAACCACTCTTCTCACTATATTTTAAGACGATCACCACTGCTCTGATCCTGGAATGATTTCTCACTGAATCCTACCCTTCTGGCTCAAGTTCATCACCTCTCTAGTCCTTGTTGCTATTCCCTTCTCTGAACTCTTAATGCACTTATGATCAGTGGCCACATTGTTGTCTTTCAATCCTTTACCCTCTCTCCCCGCATCAGATCTTTTTCTACTTCACACCTTCAACTACCTTCTACAAACTGATAACTGTGTCTCTATCTTTAGCTCAAACTTCTATCCTGAACTTCAGGCCTATTTATCCAACTCAGAAGAGACCTCTTGCAAGCTCCCATCCAACATCAACCCACTGCCAGCATCTGTACCTATAAACTCTTCCTCCCTCCTCTCCCTACAAATGACTGCTCATGCCCCTGTCTAAGGCCTTTATCCTTGTACACTGGATCCCAAGGACATTGCTTCCCAAGGAGTAGAAGTTCTCTCTTACTGTTTATCATCAATTTTTTTCTCTACTGGATACAATAAAGAAAATACAAATATGTTGTTATATCCTCCTATCTTAAAAACAAAACAAAAACCTCTTGATCTGACATCCCCTTCCAGTTCCTGCCCAATTTCTCAGCTTCATTTTACAACAAAACTCATTTCCGGGGTTGTATTTCCTGTCTCAATTCCCTTCCTCTCAGCAGGATTTTACCCCACTGCCTTTGCTTCACCGCCTTGCCAAGGTTGCGTGGATCCCCACGTCACTAAGCCCGACGGTCACTTCTCAGTCCTATCTTACTTGATGTCTTGGCAGCATTTCACACAGCTGCCGCCATCCCATTCCTGATGCGCTTCCTTCCCCACAATCTCCTAATTTTTCTCTTTCCTGCTTCTTGGTGTTTGTATTTGTTTTTGTGGACTTTTTCTTTCTGGTTCTTTCTTATTGTCCCTGACTTTCTCAATATTATTACACCTTAGGGCCCAATCTTTGGAATCTGTTCCTATCTACACCGACTGCCTAGGTGATTTCACCTATTTCACGACTTTAAATACCATCTATATATTGGTGACTCACAGAGGTATATCTCTAGCTCAGATGTCTTCCCCGAACTCTAGACTCTAGTGTCCAACAACCGTCTCCTCAAAATCTCCACTTGGGCGTATTACGGCATATCTGTCAACATGAGCAAAACTGAGCTCCTGGCCCTATCCTGAGGCTCCCGTACAGTCTTTCAGAGCTCAGCTAATGGCTTCCCTCATCTTCCAGTGTTCAGGCCAGACCCCTTGGAGTCATCCTTACTTCTTTCTCTGTTACTCTAGTGTTCAACCATGTAGCCTTTCACACAGCAACAGTGGTCCAACCACTGTCATCTCTAATCGGGATTATTCCAAAACGCTCCTAGCTGGTTTTTGTGTCACTACTTCTACTTTTGCACAACAGCAGTCAGAGTGATCCTATTAAAATGTAGGACTAAATTATGTCACCCTCTGGTCAAAACCTTTCAGCAGCATCCGTCTTCACCCAGAGTGAAGGCCAAGTTCTCACAATGCCTACAAGGCCCACTGTCATCTGACCTCCCGTTACATCTACAACAACCCCCGCTACTTTTCCTGGGTTCACTGGGCTCCAATGTGCTGACCTCCTCGCTGCTCCTCAGGCCTGTTCCCAGGTGCTCTTCTGTCTCAGCTGCCCTGAGGGGACGATTGCAATTTTCTCCTCTCTGGCCACACTGCCTTTAGAACTTCCCCGTCTACTCTATCCTTCAAACCGCGATCAAATTTATTTATTTTTCTAACCGTTTAGTCCCTCATGGCTACTTGACTCTAAAACTCTTCAGTGGGTCTTTCTCTTAGCTTCAGCATAAAGTCCAGGCTTCATTTGTGCTCAGTGACCTGGTCCCTATCTCTCCAGTCTCATTTTTTGCATTATCTGTCCTTGTCCTTCCTCCCTGTATCCTCCCTCTCCCCAGTATATCAGACTTTGCTTGAAGCATGCTATTCTTCTGCGTGTTTGCATGCATGACTAACTCTACCTAGCTGTCATTGACTTATCCAGCTGGTCTATGACATCTTTCTTGTCTTCCAAGGAAGAATTGATCCATTCCTGGTCCCTATACTGACCACAGCACTATCATATTTTATCACTTTTATTATACATATTAAATGAGGTACTTGAAAATGCTTAGCACAGTGTGTGGCATGTTCTAAATGCTCATTATTTAATTGCTAGCATAATGAGTGATGGTGGTGGTGACAATGCTCTGTCTCTTTTTCTAGTCTGAGATCTTTAAGAAACAGAACTTTTGTTTTATTCATCATTCAGCACAGGGCTTGCTTGATCTATAGCAGGCATCCCAAAAGTCATTTGGCTTCTTTTGGAAAAAATGTTACCATTTTTTTTTCTTTTTAGAGACAGGGTTTTGCTCTGCTTCCCAGGCTGGAGTGCAGTGGCTTGATCATAGCTCACTGCAGCCTTGAACTCTTGGGCTCAAGTGATCCTCTTGCCTCAGCCTCCCAAGTAGGTGGGACTATAGGTGCAAACCACCACATCCGGCTGATTTTTTTCTTTTTGTAGAGACAGAGTCTCACTAGGTTGCCCAGGCTTGTCTCAAGTGCCTGACCTCAAGCGATCCTTCTGCCTTCGCCTCCCAAAGTGTAAGGATTACAGGCATGAGCCACCACACCCAGCCTATTTCACTTCTTACCATGCACAAGGAGACAAGTATAAGGATACCTGAAGAAGCTTTATTAATAATATAAAATAATAGTAATAATAATTATAATAAACAAATAACCAAAAAGATAGGAAACCTAAACATCTGTTGAACTAGACTAAACCACAAAAACAGGCCCAGGTACAAAGATTGTTAAAAACGATGACTTAGAGTTGGCTAATGTTGCTTCTTGGTTCAGCTTATGACTGAGAAATCACAAAAGTACCACAAAGTACATTGTATGTTCAACATCAAGGATATATGTGGCCACCAAACCTGTGTTTTTAAAGTTTATGGCTTCAGTAGCCTTCAAGGAATGAAGAACATGCCAGGTCAGAGAAAGTCCAACAATGGGCATGCCGTCTTTTTGCTGATGGCTGGTCGAGAGGCCGTAACAACGTGCCTGGGTCCACCACTGCATCACGGTTCAGTGCGTCCGCATTTTGTGAGTTCTTCATCTAGCCCACCCACGATTTCCACGCAGCGGACCTGGCCACACTCACCACATTCATCAGTAGGAGGATGGACAAATGAATAATGTTTTATCCATTGTATCAGGCAAGATGCAACCAGGAAAACAGAATCGACACCAGTTATATTAAGAAAATTTAATATAGAGATTTGACTAAACGAGTATTTGATGAAGGAAGGGCAAAAAAAGGAGTGTGGGCGTAACACGGAGGCAGTAACTGCAGGAAGCAGCTACCACTCCCAATGTTAGTGAACAAAGGGGAAGAAGACGAGGGTGTTAGGAGCTAGAGACTTGCCAGAGGACCCTCAGGAGCTGAGGCTCAGACGTGGGAGGAGGGGCGCTCCCCAGGCGGTGCGGAGGAGTCAGATATGCAGAGGGGCCCCGCGGGGCTGGAACTCACACCCCTTGACGAGGCACTGGCTTGCGCTGGTGTGTTTGAATAGGGGCAATGGTGCTGACGGTGTGGAGAAAGATGGGAAACTAGAACCAGTTCCTACTGGAAGAACCCGCTGCTGCCAGGTGCAGTACTCTTTGGGGGAAGACATTAATAGGTGAGCAAACAGGAGCAGGCACCTGTCCTCTTCCAACCTTTTCTGTCCCTCTAGTGCCCCCTACTGGCAGAATTTAACAGCCGGCAAAGGAGAAATATGCTAATTGCTCGGTCCCAGTCACAGCATCACAGAAAAGAATATAGAAGGGTGGGTTTGGAGCTGAGAGACGATAGCTTAGCAATCAGCACATCCCTATAACTGCACACCACACTGCAGGGAAAGTGGAGGAAATAGATGCCTTTTCACATGGGTTGAGTTCACAGTATCAAGTATAAAAATAAGAAATATGCAGAATATGTATAATTTACCATATACAGTATACAAATTTCAAAGAGATGCAAAAAGTACTAAGTAGGGACATCATTATATGTAATAAATTACCGAGAAGTCATGGGACTAATCTTTGAAATTCTTAGGATAGTGATTTCCTCGGGGGAAGGGGATGGGGAGAGGAGGATGCGTGATGGGAGGGGCCCCAGAGGCTTCTGCTGTATTCATAACACACGCGGGGCGGTGGGCCCGTGCATGATTGTTATGCAATCCTTTATACATTTCTGTGTGTCAGAAACATCTGCAGAAAAAACTTTAAAATAACTTGGAATACGCATTTATTTTTTAATAAGTGAGTGTTTCATAAGGAAACTCCCCCAGGATTTGACATTCCTAAGCCCCAGACAGGCTCCTTCTTTAGATCCAGTGTGTCTTCCCTCCTCTCTTTTCCTCCACGTGACAAAAGCCATGCATTGTCCTCCGCAGAGCTACCACTGCCCGCTTTGATTTTTGAGATTATGCCCAAGACCGGCAGCCTTACGAAGCACCACTATCACCATGACCACCCCCCAAAAGAAAAGCACACAGGACCTTTACATCTAGAGGGTTTGTGCAATTCACTATGCAGAATTAGATAATGGTAACAAAAATGAGAACGTGCATTTGTCCAAGTGATGGTAATCTAATTCAAAAGAGCTTGAGGAAAAAAAAAAATGACACTCCTGGGCTCACAGAGCTGGGAAGTCCAGTAGAATGATGGTTCCATCTGGCTAGATCCAGGTGCTTAAATCATCCCACCACAGGTTTCTTTTATAACATTGCCATCTATGAAGTAGCTAGGAAAGAGGGTAAGAATAGAGTCAGAAATGTGAAAATAATTTAGGAAAGAGGTCAAAACAGAAAGAATGCCAGTGGAAATCACCTGTGTAGAGGAATGAGCTGACACCACATAAAAAGTAGAAAGTAGGGGCGGTGGTCATTGCAGAGTAGGATGTATGTCACAAAAATTACGGGACTATATCATATCATACGGACAATGTCACAGAGTGGCAAAGACAGAGCAAGAGAATGCGTAGACCACTGTCCTAGTACCCAGTGGTCAGGACACAGTAGGCAATCAATAAATGCTTCCTGAATGAGTGAACGACGGGTGGAGAGTGAGCCCTGGAGAAGGCAGACGCTGAAGGTGCAGTGTTGTAATACATGGGGTTGTAACAGGTAAGTTGTAAAAGAGAATTTCAGAAAAGATGCTAAATGGGAGAAACCCAGAGCCTTGTTCACCACCTCCAGAACTGCAGGGGATTCAAGAACTAATATGAAATTTAAGGTGAGACAAAAGACAGTTATCAGAGAAACTGGACTCTAACATTAGACTCTTTAGAAACTAAAGAGCTGCTTCCTAAGCTAAGGCCAAGTGTCACTATGCTTGGGTTGTTTGATAAAATAACATGTATATGTGAAATCGCTGTGGAAAGATGGGTTAAAAGGTCGTGGTGCAAGCAATTTTACAATCAAGCAATCAATAAGTACTCCCCATTTTCCTGGGATTTTGTGCTTTTGTTTTTGTTTTTTGTTTTTTAATGAATCAAGGCACAGCTGACAGCTCCAAGCTTGAATCAGAGGAAGAACTGTCATTAGAATCTGTGAGGAGCTCCTTGCTTTTTTCTTACTCAAACCAATTGATTTAAGGTCAGCTGCTGACTTCCAGTCAACATTTAAACTTTTGGAAGGGTAACATCGTTATGCAAGAGCCATGACACACACAGCAAAACCATTGCACAACATCTAACTGTCTCAAGAAAAATCTGCCAAATCTGAAATGTCCCATACATTTTATGAAAAGACAAATGAACACAATTTTGATTTGTTAATTTTGGACTATACACATAGATATACATACACTACAGCTTTAAAATGACCACCTTTGGTGTCCCAATGTTGAACACAGGGAACATATAAGCTTTTCTCAAAATTAAATGGAAAACATAGCTTAACCTCTATATATCGCCTCTTAATAATAACCACTAAATTATAAAAGTGATCTTAATTTTCTAGTGCATTTTAGGAGAATATTAAAATTGAATCCATAAGTAGATTTATGACAATATATAAAAACAAAACAGAAATGCCTCAATTGTGATTTTTTAATGTAAAAATATGGACCTAAAAAATAATTAGGGAGATATAAAATTAGAAAAAAACATCTGAAAATTGAAAGTTATTTATTTAATTTTAAGAACACATCAATTAAATAATCAGTAACAAACACACTGCTATACTTCAACTAAATGGCATATATGTATTTTGAAAAAAGTAGACTGTCCAATGTTGAAAATAGTGTTACCATTAAACATCATAGTCTTTGTGTTATGGGATTTGTGCCTGTTAAATTGTACCATAGCCTTCAAGTGGAACAGTTGGCACTGTGAATGCCCTGGGCTAGATCTCCTAGATGAACTTGGAATAGCTGTCATTTCTTCTAGCACATCTCCAAACAACTTTCAGGGTTAAGATAAACTTCAATGTTGCCTTCTGATTGGAAAGCAAATTTCCTCCCATCATTAGCACAGAAAACTAAGTGAGTTCAAAATGTCCTTAATGGTAAAGCAAATTCAGTCATAAACCTGTCAATTCCCATCATTACTCTTCTCTTCCAGGGCACAGCTGTGTTTAGTGACTCTGAAACTCTTCACACTGCATGCTCTCACACACACACGCACACACAAGATCTCACAGCAATAAGGCTGGAGCTGAGGTCTGATCCTCATTTATCCAACCAGAACACCCATCCTCTTTCCATTGTCCTGCACAGCAACATTTCAGCATTGCCAAAAAAGGGACAAAATTACCATAATATTTAAAAATAATCCTTTATGAGAAAAAAAAAAAACATTTAGGAATCATTGGTCTATACTACTAAGATAGCCCTTCAAAGTTCCTTGTAAAACTTGAAAGCCTGATAAACACATTTAGTAAAATATATGATGCAAAACATGCATGTGATAAAGAGATATCCTACAAGGCTACAATCATTAATAATGTGGATATCAGCAGGTAAGTTACTGCTGAATTGCTGGTCCCAGATGAGTTGTAAACGGAGATGGAGTCCTTTGCGTACCACCTCCCAAACAGTGCCACTGTTAGGATAGGCCCAGATGTTCCATTCTTGTTTACCAAACGCCCATCTTTTAGCACCTAAGGAGAAGGTAAGAAAAATACAGTCGGCTTTATTAAAATACACATTACAAGCAGACTAATGATTTTGTAACCATTCTAGATATAATGGATGATCAAGTCATTCCTGCTTGGGGAGGGAAGAAGCAGCAGGACAGGCAGGGGACAGCTAATTTCTATATAATGAAGACTAGAGCAATTCAAGAAGGCCCAAGGTCTGAGTTTCAACAATCGAATGTAACCATTCATGAAAAGTCAAAATCAGCAGCAGCAACGACTCATTGCACCCAATTATGTCCAGGATAATCAGGAACCAGAGAGGTATACATCACATGCTTCTCTCAAGAAACTTAAAAGCTAACGGTGAAACCGAACCGGTTCCAAACATAAAGAGAGAAATCAGTTTTTTAGTATATGAGAGAGGGAAGTAGATACATGCTCAAGAGGTCTGAGAAGCAAAGGCTGTACTGGTCTGCTTCCCAGAGTGAGGCGCAACCTGCCATGAAAAGGAGCAATTAAGAATTTCTTCCTGGGGCTGTATGGCAGAAGACACTGTGGGAAATGGAAATTGATCATGGTGGGAATATTTACACCATGAAAATTGGCAAATGCATGCTGCAAAGCAAGGCTTTTTCTTTTATGCCTCAGAAAGCAGGTTATTACAATTTACAGCTGGCTTAGAGCTGGAGCTTAGTGAAGAGAAGAAGCCATATGGTCAGAGCAAGGTGGGGATCAGACTGTGAAAGCCGAGAAGGACTAGATCTATTCTAAAGCCACAGAGGGTTCTCTGTGAAGGAGTAATGTGCATAAAGTCATTGACTAAGAATAGAAAGAAAGATGAACAGATGGACAATAGATAGAAAACGAATAAAGGAAAAGGAACCCATCAGTTGTGGAAAGGACAATTTGGATAGGGAAGAAATTGGAAACTGGGAAAACAGGTACTTTAGGAAACTGGAAGAAGAAAATAATTAAATAGCCTAGAAGATAATTATTGTGTTTCACTGTTAACAAAGTGCCTTCCCCAAATCAGTGAGAAAGGTACACTGTCCTACAGGTATGGAATTCAGACGTTAAGGGACTTTCCAAAGGTTACGTAACTAGTTAGTTGTGGAGATCAGGCTCTTCCAGTGTGTCAACAATAACACCAGAGATGCAAAAGTGCGAACGCATGATGTTTCCACATTTGCGGGCGTAGTCAGTAACACTCCACCCTTTTCGTGTAAAAATGAAGAAGGAAGGATAGGCATAAGTGTGTTGAAATCTCTCCAATAGTGATCCTCTAAGATAATGTGTAAATATTTGCTGAAGGAGTGTCCATCAGTGAATAGAACTAGGGAAATACTCAAGAAGACATTGTGAACATGACTGATGTGAAAACCTTGTCGTCTACAATGTCGTAACTGGTCTCTCTAGAAACGATATGTTGACAGAAGGGCCATGCTCTGCAAGGTCTCTACAGAAAGAAGCACTCAAAAAATCAAGAATTGGTCACCGTTTATTTGCCTCTTTTTGAGGACAGTAGTCACCTTCATTCTACATAGTTTTTAGATCACCAGCCCAAAAGAGGAAAGACACATTGCTCAGGCTACCATGGCTTCTTAGAAATCTTTTCTAGGAATGCCCAACTCCTTTTTTTTAATTCTGTGCTCTCGAAACAAACTTCTGACCCATAATTTGGACTCTTGAGAGGATTTACCCATGGGGAGCCTTTCTGAGATGACAGTTCATTGCTCTCCAGTGAATCTATTTTTGAAAATAATAAGCTCGTGCTCTCTTTTATCCATCTTGTGAGTTTGGTTATATCTGTTGCTTAGAACATGATGAACTTGCAGGACAGTGATGTTTAGAGAATCTACACTTGTAAAATGAAAATCTGCAGCACCCTCGCTGTGGTGCTTGCTCCAAGGAATTGCTACACCAAAGACCTTGCCTGCCAGCTGCCACATGCCTCTTGTATATCTTTCTTGGTGTAACACAATCTGTATCTCATTTCCTCTTTCTGAAAAAGAGCTGGAGTAGGCAAGGTAAGATTTAAATGATAAATAGACTGAGCGCCTAGTTTAAAGGGCAGGTGCTGTCCTTCCCTTCCCTCCTTCCTTCCATCCAAGAGTTAGAAGCCAGAGATGAGAGACAGCATGACAAGTCTGGAGACTTGTTAAGAGTTGAGACTTACAGATACTATAGAGTTAAGTACTTAAACATTTATGACTGTTTCCAACTGTCTGAAACCATTTAGGATGAAAATTTTAAAACAACGAAAGGAGGTAGCTATGGAATAATTTATTGCTATTCCACTATTACCATCCAACTTCTTCAAATACTGATATGGTTCAGAGTGATAGTGAAAGGGTATTTCTGGCTCTGGACCTTTAACCTGTCTGGAAAACTCTAGCATTTTTTCATCTTTCTCCCATGGATGAGGTGGTTTGTTTTTTGTTTGTTTGTGTGTTTCTTGGTAAATGCTCAGTCCTACTCTGAGACAATTCCTCAAAGGGATAGATTTCTATGAGTACATGACATAGAAAAAGTGTCACAGTAGCAATCAAAAAATTAGATTGTGTGCTCAGTTTACATGGCTGGACTTGCAAGATACAATTGGCCAATATGGCCCTACGCCTTCCTAAGTTCACCTAGGCGACCCTATTTTTCCCTCTCTCACTGCCTTAAAGTGACTTCATATATTTTCAGTTCATCTATGCTTATTTATTCCAGTCCAGCTACCTTTTAACTACTGGATTTTAGCCCAAGACTCCTCACCTCAGATCTGATTAATATTTTCTGCAGTTAGCAGTTAAGTTTTTATTCCAGCCTCAATCTCCTCATGAGATTCTACCTCACCAGGTTCTATGGAAGCCAAGGATTCTTGTTTTCTGGGTTTCACAGCCTTAAGGCTGTACTTTATGTTAAATTGTTGATATCACAGAATTAAATATTTTCATAAATGTGACACATCCCAATGTAATAACACAGGCAGATGCAGATATATGACCATCAGCAATCTGCAATTTTAAAGACTTCCTTGTTTGATGCTTTGCATAAATTAACTTAGATCCTGTTTTCCATTTATAGACTATGCAATGATTTCATCCTAGTTACTGAAACCCTGCCAATGTTTGCCATGATTCAGAGAAGACATTAATATCCAAACTGGTATAAGTATGTATGTGTCCATGTGTGCGTGTGCGTGTGTAAGGTACTAGCAGATAGAAACCTGAAGTGTCATAATTCTAATTTGAGACCAGCTTAATTTGTGAATTAATTGGTTACAGCCACTATAATTTGTGAAATAAATATCTGATTTTCTATTTGTTTCCACATGTGACAAAAGAAATTAAAAATCTATAAACAAACATTTTTCAATGAATGATATCTTGCACTCATAGTTCTAGCTTTGTTGGTTATAGTGTTATTCCAAGGAAGTGTCTTGACTTTAGAATTAGTTGCTATAAGATGCAAAAATGGCCACAAAATTTTCCCTGCCTTTACACATGCCCTTTTGTAATGTGATTTTATAGCTCTTTCCATTGAGAGGTCTGAGCCATTTACTTCTCTACCGCTTGAATCTACATTGCTCATGTGACTTGCTGTGGTTGATGAGATGTTCACAAATAAGGTGCAAGCAGAGACTTGCAAAGAACTTGCCCATTGTGGCTTTTCCTCTTGATGCTCTTGGACTCATTCAACTAACATGTGAATGAGCCCAGGGAGAGATGATCCCAATCATCCCAGCTGTCCAAGACAAGTCTATCACATACGAGTCAGCCCCTATCAACCCACTAACTAATGGCAGATGCAATGAGCCCAGGCAACATCAGCTGAATCCATCTCAGACCAGAAACACAGCCTACGTACACTCAGTTCAAATTGCCAACCCACAAAATCAGGGTTAAATAGATGGTTATTGTTTAAAGCCATCAATTTGGGGAGAGATTTGTTAGACAGCAAAAATAAACTGATGCAGTTGCAATACCCTGTTTTACTTGGCTTCAGAGAACATACAAAATGAAAATACTCTTAAAATCCTTTTACCTCAAATTTTCCAGGTGACAGATGAATTTCAGTAAGTAGCACTTCAGGAAAAACATATTCTGTTCCAAAGGTACCACTGAGGGAGAACATTTCAAATCTTGTAGAAGCAATTTCTACTGGCCGCCCACAAGTTGTCAAATTAGTAGTTTTGCACTTCAGCATTGTGCATACCTGTGTGGAACAGATGCAGATAAAATACAATGCCTTACATCTAACTTAATTGTACTAGAACTGTCGATTTAGCTTTTAACCACAGCAAGGCAAAATTTTCTTTCTCCAAAAAGGGATTTGGATCATGTTTCTTATAATTACCTGCTTTATTGGAAATGGCAAGTGATTTGAGAACCAACCCACTTCCTGGACAACAGGTGAATTAAAAGAAAGAAGTCAGCTTAGAATTAGACTTCAAATATTAGTCTGGTATGTCAGATGATGGCATTGAGCCCAAGGAAGTGGCGGTCTTTGGGCAACAGTATTATTGAAGCTGAAAGGATGATTAAAATTCTGACCACCCTTGCACCTCACCTGTCTTTTCCATATCCTTTTCTTTAGAAGAAGATGGGGACATGGAGTATAACAAGAAAATACAAATTCATAGCCAACACTCTATAAAAAGTTTCCATCTTTAAAATTTGTCATTTGAAGGGAATAAAAAGACTAGGGCATCTAATTAGAAGACAAACTAAGATGAAAGTGGTATTCCTGTTCATTATTGGTTTTAAAAAGTGAAAATAATCTAGACCTTGAACTTGGAGGATAACAAGAAAAAAAGAAACGTAAAAGTGAAAATAAGACTTTATATTCAGATGTGTTGGCAAATCTAGTTAAGGAAGACTTCTCGAAGTTCACCACAGTAGGCTAGTTGTTTCAAATAAAAAGTCATCATGATTGAGTTAATAATCTTTTTAAATGTGCTCAAAGCAAACAATCAGAGTACACCTAATTCCCATTGTAAATATTTGATAAGTCCCTCTGCGTATGTGTTTGTGTATGCGTGTAATATTGTCAAGGCATGGAGTCATGCCAAGAAAAAGCACTTGGTTTTCTAGAACAAATATGAAAAGTTAACTTGGAATTTACTGGCACCTAATAGTCTCTCTCACTTGAGCTGAGATTACCTGCCAGTACTCTCTTCTCCTTCGGCCATGTAATCCTGTAAATGCTCCTAGAACGTAAACTTCATTCTCCTCTTTTTCTACCATTCTGTAGCTTAAATGACAGCAGAGCTCTTTTTGACAGACTGTAAGATTTCCTGCATTCTCAAAAAGTTCTGTGAAGTTGAACTCATCCCGGGAAATAAATCCTCCTAAAGTGTTTTTCTGTACTGGGAAAGGTCTGATGGCGGTGGCGTAGGCGCTCCAATTCACTGCCGCTGGGTAGGCAGGAGAGGCTCGGGGATGCGAATCCACCTCCGAAAGGAGGATCCTTCCCAACTGTGTTTTCATGTCATAATAGTACACTTTGGGAGAGTTTGGTGCATAGATACCACTCCCTGTGAATGGAAGACAAGTTTTTTTAAACTAACAACACAAAAAAATACCAATACTGTCAATTTTCCCCATCAAAATTGGGCATGTGATCATGTCACATTAGTCACAATGAGAGAGCTCAAATGCTTCTAGCTGCACGGAACACCTACCTACTTCTCTTATTCTCTATTGGAAGAGATTAAAACAGACATTCAATGGCCTCACTTCAAATAAATTTTGAGTATAATAGCATTATTTATTAGCATGAAGGAGAATTAAACCAAATATAAAAACCTTTGTATTCAGGAGTCCCTGAAAGGTGGGGAAAGGTAATGCAAAATTGTCTCCTATTCCCAACTGTGGTGGTTTTCAAATATATCCAAAAATTCTTCAATACTCTTCTCTCCAACGGGTGAATGTAATTCCCTCTCCCTTAAGTGTGGGCTAGACTTAGTGACTCACTTGTAATGAATACAACATGGTAGAAGTGATGGTGTGTAAGTGAGTGAGTCATAGAAGCAGATCCGTGAGCCCAGGTCAAGCCTTCAGATGATTGCTGGACCAGCCAATGGCTTGACACAATCAGAAGAGATAGGCTGAGCCAGAACCACCCAGCTAAGCCACTCCCAAATTTCTGACCAACGGAAATTGTGAGATAATAAAGATTTGTTGTTTCAAGCCACATTCACTTTTTTTTTTTTTTTTTGAGACAGAGTCTCACTATGTTGCCCGGGCTAGAGTGCTGTGACATCATCCTAGCTCACAGCAACCTCAAACTCCTGGGCTCAAAGTGATCCTTCTGCCTCAGCCTCCCGAGTAGCTGGGACTACAGGCATGCGCCACCATGCCTGGCTAATTTTTTCTGTATATATTTTTTAGTTGTCCGATTAATTTCTTTCTATTTTTAGTAGAGACGGGGGGTCTCGCTCTTGCTCAGGCTGGTCTGTAACTCCTGAGCTCAAACAATCCACCCGCCTCGGCCTCCCAGAGTGCTAGGATTACAGGCATGAGCCACCGCACCTGGCCAAGCCACATTCACTTTTAACTTTTAATTTGTTATACAGCAGCATATAAATAATTCACTCTGCCTTTGCCAATTTACAGTACATCTCTGTTCAGTTCCCTGTTTTGCCCTTTACTAGCTGAGTAGCATTTGGCAAGTTACTTGCACTCTCTGTGTCTTGGTTTACTCATCTATAAAATTGAGATGATACTACCCATCTCATAGAATTGTCATGAGAATTAGATGAAATAATAAACAGAAAGGTCCTAGTAAAACCACGGCTTATAATCAAGAACTAGCTTTTCTCTTCTTTTCCTTTCTTTTCTTTTTTTTTTTCTGTAAAAACATAGCAAACACATTGAGCAGTTCCAACAAAGAAGCAAAAATTTAATACAGGGCATTTCTGAGGCATTAGTTTCTCTGCATTTAGAAATATAAGATGAAACCTAAGATGGTCATGAATTACCTGTCATATTTAGGCTGACATGATGTGTGTTGGCCACAAGAAGATTAACTCTCATGCCCATTGCCCAAGCCGAATGAAATTCAATAGCTGTCAAAAGGGGCAAAACATTCATCCAGGCTGTGGGAAACAGTATGGTATCCACATGGAAGTCTTTCACAAGAGTAATGGCAGGATCATGGAAGAATATATCAAAGCATGTGAAAATGCCAAACCTTCCAAAGGTGGTGTTGAAAGTCACCAACTCCGGCTTTTCAGGGACATCAAACTGAGGCTCAGAATAGAGGTGGTACTGTAACAAGTGCATAGAATAAAACTAGTAAAGGCTTATTTATTAAAGAGATGACTTGTAAACCACCCCTGCCCCCCGCAAAGACAGTAACAGATTTGGCTACAGTCAAGGAGGAGGCAGGACAGTCACACTGCCTGTATATCACATACCCACATGAAAGGCTAGCCTCTCTCCCCAGCCAATGTAGTATAAAATTATGACCTAAAGGTTATTCTACTCTTTTTTCAATTCAGAGTTTAAAGTAAAAATTTTTTATGGTTTGAGTTTAAATCTACAAAAGGGTAATTAAATTAATTGGCATAGAAAATAGAGTATTTGATGCAAATTAACTTATGTGAAACTCATTCATACATTTTTGAAACATCTTTATGTCATTTGAATATTAAATGGTATCTGGATTACAGTCACTTTAATATCTTTTGCATCAATATCAAAATTACTTTATACACATACATGCGTGCATGCACACACACACCCACACACATACACACACACACAAATTATCTCAATCCTGAACCATTACAACACTTGTCTAACAGGTTTCGGTCTACACATTTTTCCAGATTAGCTTAATTCCTAAGATGTCATATTCTTTATTGTTCACTTACATAAAAAAATCTTTAGTCATGTCATATTACACAGGAGATGAAGCTCAAACTCCCGAGCACGGCATTCGCCACTCTCCTATCAGCCTCCATTTTACACATCCACCCCTTTCACCTTATGGTAACGGGCCACCAGTTTCCCTTCTGTGTCATACACCACGTTGGTATTGTATTGGTAGTAGCCATTAGGAGGGCATGTGGAGTTGCGGGAACTACATGGCTTCTTATCCCCAATATTGGCCAAGACATAGATAGAGTTGTTCTTGGCCAGGCAGCTGAGTCTTGCTTGTACTGGTGTATCACCAAATCTAAACCAAATTTTAATTAAAACATTTCAATTTTTAAAAAACATTTTAGTCACTTCATACAGAGACAGTAACAACTTTAAGAGCTTAGGTGTACCTTAAGTCGATATAAAAACTACTCATAAAAAGATCATTTTTTAAAATCCACAAATGATACTTAAATTGGATGTCTATTTTCCACACCATATCTATTGCTCCAGCAATTCATTTATTCACTCTCCTGCACCATCAAGTGTATCCTCTCTATGGGAACATTCCATTAGTATGACATATGTCTTATGTCATGCTAATTTAAAGACTCCTATCTTTAAAAAAATAAAATGAAAACCTCTCTTGACCCCACATGGCCTTCCAAATATGGCTTCAGTTTTCAGCTCCCTCTTAGAGCAAAACGCCTCAGAAGAGTTGTCCATCCTGCTGTCTCTAGTTCCTCCTCTCGAATTCTCTTGTGAAGCACTCCAGTGAACTTTAAGTTCTATCACCCCAGCTCTCACTAATGCCAACAATGATCTCCACATCTCGCCTGATCTCATCTTACTTGACTTACCTGCAGCAGTTGACACAGTTAATTACATCATCCTCCTGGAAACACTTCCCTCCCTCACTGGGCCCATCTTCTCATTCTCCTACTCATTGGTTGTTCTCTGACTCCTTCGCTGTTTCCTCCTCATCTCTCCTGAGTCCAAACATTGGAATTACCTAGTACTCAAGCCCATACCTGTACTATTCTCTAACTCACTCCATAGGTGAAATCATTGTGTTAAAAACCATCTATATGCTGACACCTGATTCTCTATCTCCAGATATAGCCTTGTCCTTTCCTGACAAAATTGTATATGTAACTGCCAGATTGACATCTCCACATTGACAGCAGCATTTAGATGTTCACTATATATTAGATATTTTATATTAAAAGGTTTCTAGATACCTTTCCTCCAGGAAAATGAGCTTTGAGAGCCTAGGGAGATGCAGTTTCAAAGCAAAAAGCCTTATGATTCACATGAAAGTACATGAGGAGGTCTTTCTGCCTGGGAAACAGATTCTGGGACACAGAGACTCTATGAAATTGAAACATAGTCCCTTCAACAGAGACCTTGGAATATTTTCCTAATACAACCCACTGTCTACTTCAGAAATTAAGTTACAACTTGTATCCATGAGATCTTCTTCCTTTAGCTTTTCTTGCAATAAATACCCTGTTTACATATTTCCCCAAATTTAATGAAGATACTCAATCATGAAATATTGTTAAATGGCATCTAGGTAAAATTTTTAAAACCCTAACAAATGCAGAGATAAATATAACCGTAACATATCCCACATATATGATAATTCAGGATCACTCATTTTGCTTTGGTGAACCTGCACATTTTAGAGAATTACAGCACTTTTGCACAAACAACTAGGATAGTTAAAATACCTGTAGGGGTTTTGACATGGAATCCAGTTCACCTGAGGGTCTGGGATATCCTCTAGATAAGGGAAAACAGTTTCCCTAGTAAATTTCCATCCGTAAAGTGCATCTTCTGGAGTCACAATGATTCGAGCCCCCTATTCAAAACAAGTAAAATCAAAATTATTTTTCCATGTACAACATAGATAATTCAACACTCCCATTTTCCACCAGCCCCCATGTCCCTACCACAAATTATGATTAGCAGAAATAAAAGAATACCTGCTCGGCTGCCAGTTTAATCATTCTCTCCAGAATATCTATATTCTTGTTCATGAGACACAAGGCATCATCTCGAGAAACAGGTATTTCTGTTTTGTTTGGCAATACAACAGCATGTTCATACACTGCAGCTATAAAAGTGTCCACAGCAGCAACATGCAGAGTAATTAGGGCAAAAACTGCCGCGGAGATTAGAAAAGAGGAAGTGATCATGGCCAAGGAGTAGTGATCTCTGAAAGTGAGAATAACATTCATGTAGTATTTACAGAGGCGAGAACATTTATGTAACATATGGCTGCCAGCTACTGGGCTTCTATTTTATTAATATAACCTTATGAATACATTATGCCTGACCAATTTTGAGGAGAAAAATGTTTCAGGTCAATAAACACAATCAGAAAGTACTATCAGGCTTTAATAACATGCACTATTGATAAGATTTAATGTCAAATTTCCAAAAGAAAAAAACCCCAAATTCAAATGTAGTACAAGTCTACCTTTTATTAACAGAAAATAGTAACTAAATTACTTTCATGTGAAAAATTATATGACAACAAACATTCCATTTATTAAATTAAAAAATTGGCAATAAATTTTTTGTTCCTTTGAGTGATTTACATCATGTCTATTTTTAGAAGAGGAGAAAATATTAAAATATTTACTACTAGGAGAATGCATCATGGAATAATATCGAGAATTCACCCAGATCAACACTCTGACTTACTTATTGCTATTAAAGACTAAGAATGTGTGCTCCCTAAAAGCTGGAATTTGTGTCTGTGACTGAAGCACTGATCCCCCAGGAGCTGCTCCCTGAGGTTAGGCCAGGGGAGAAATTGAGACCTCTGCTCACAGCCCCAGGCCTCAAGAGACCCAGCCCCTTTCTTTCTTTCTTTCACCCTTCCTTTCTCTCCTCCTCCTCCTTCTTCTCTCCCCGCTTCTCTCTCTCTCTCTTTTTGTCTCCCTGCCCCCCTACAAACACACCCATTCTCTTTCTTCATTCTGTCTTCTATGGGTGTGGGAGGAAGATGCCAGGGAAGGGAAAGTATCTAGGACTAGTGATAATAAAGAGAATGAATCACTGTTGTAAAAAAGGTAAGATACAACGTTCATTTTTGTTAGAGGCAAATAACCACAAAAATGAGTTTTAAAACAACAACATATACAGTATGTGATCTCTGAGGCCCTCCTAGAACATCCATATTCTCCCTTCCCCAGTCTCAATCCTACCAGGTAAAGGCTTTGTTTTATTTTATCTGGGCCTCTTGGTAAAAGCCACTCAAATGCTTTTAGACGGCATAGAGGAGTCGATACAAATATAATCAACAAAATTCATTCTGTGCTTTCTCTCATACTGAGATAAAACTTTTGTTAAGAATGAGATCTAAGGACTATAAATAAGATCTGCTCTTATTTTCTGCTTTGAATAGAAGTTTCTATTAAAGGAATAACTTTTCTTACCTCTACAGAGTGGAAAACTGAAAATAATTTCAATAAAAGTGGTCAAGCCCTTTAGTGGAAAATGTGAAAGAATAGATATTTTTATAAATTTTTAACAGATTTTATAATAGATTATTGGTATATAATTATACTATATATAGAACATATATAATTAGTAAGTTAGCATTTCATTGGCATATAATAGATAACGAGCACCTTTAGAGTTTAGAATTCATGTAACCCAAATGCCCTCGTATTACAGGACAGGAATCTGAGGCATAGAGAGGCAGTGACTTAAAGCACGGTGTGTCACTTCTCACTCCTGCTTCTAGAATCTTTCCTTCATTCCTAAGACATCATGCATGTGTCTGTGCTCTGTTTTAATGTCTTCATCCAAGTGTCTGAACACTTATGTCTTTTAAAACACCTAATTCAAAATGATCACCTTAAGAAGACCACAAGGAAATTTGCTAAGTGCTAACTGAATATTTGATGCAGTTGATGCCTAGTAAAAACAAGTAAGCTCTTCCATCTCGGTAAGTATAATTTGGACCATGATCTACCTTCACGTGATTTAATATCACCAATTAATAACAAATTCTTCATTACCTCTTTTGCTTGGAAGTAGTCAGGTCCACAGAGGAAAAATCACCATCAGTCTTTACATCAGTCTTTACAGTAGGAGTGAGGACAAGCATATCTGTCATTCACCATTTAGTGTCCCCAAATTTCTAAGACGTTTTTCTCTGTTCATGGCTGTAGAAGACAGAAAGGATGTTGATTAGAGATTGCAGATTTGTTTTTTGGTGTTTTTGGCTGTAGGGGAAATGGGGAAATCACTTCAGATGTAAAGTCAAGATGACTAAGTTCTCCTGTTTTTCTTTGTAACATTTTAAAATTGTGTCATGGAGACTGAGAATCTGAGTAACAAAGGAAATTGCATCAGAAGTTAGTAAACGAGGCAGCCATTTAAATATATGAAAATCCTTGAGATATAAAGAAAACATTTGACATAGAGGCTGCTCATATTGTTTTAAATCTTCAGAAGTAAAAAACCAAATTACGACATAGCACTTAAAAAGATGGCATTTTCATTTACATAAAGATGATTAATCAAGTAAGGCTTAACTTCTTTAATTTAATAGGGTTATAAAATAAGGTAACTTTATTTTGCCACAGGGAACATCGGTTAATTATAATTCACTGCTGAAAGAGCCTACTTCCTAAATTATCATTTTGTGATTAATTGACTTAGTTATTAATAAAAGGATGAAAAGTTTAAAGTCACTATAAAAAACAGTCATAGCTCAAATGTCTGTTTGTATAATAATCGTGACTGTGATCGTCTCTTAGAATAGTATTCAATTGGGCTATATTATTCAATTACACTTTTTGAAATCTCTCTTTTTCCACTTTGTCAAGAATGAGAAGTGTGGAGGTGTGGTTTCAGCTTTATACTCCACTTCTTTCAGCCTCTATTTCTCATTTAAAAGTTGAGATAATCATACCCACTCTATCTCCTAGAGATACATGAAAGTCTTCTGTAAGATTTTGATGGGAATGACAATAATTAACAAAAGTGGTGACAATTTAGTAATGTAATGGTCTTGACCACTTAATATTATTTCATTGTTAGGCCCACAGAACTGCTGTTGTTCAACGAAATAATTCTAGTCTATCTGGAGTACTGTGCTAAAAAATTGCTGGGGATGGGAGGGGGGTGACAGAGTACCTGGGCATCAACTCCTAAATCATGCTAAACTCAGCATGGTGGATGAACTTCAGTGGAGCAGCAGCGGTGAAGCAAGAACACCAAGGAACTTGGCCACAGGAAGGAGAAGGAGCAGCCCCAGGCTCTGACACAGGTTGCTGGACTTGCTGGTCTACCCCCTCTCCCAGCTATGAAATGACAACAGGTGAACTGAGAAACAAAGAGTCAGAAAGAAATAGCATGCATAATTAGTATCACTGCTGTTATCAATAGCACTCTCATAAGCAGCAAGAATGGCATATCAAAATAAAAAGCATGAAGAAACAGAAAACCAAGCCTTTATTTTAAAACCAGTTTCTTTTGAAACTGTATCCATAAAAAGGACCTAGTGACAAAGAACAATGTTTCTGTGTCTTCGCCATTGAAGTCTTGCATGTCTTTAGGGAGACTGTTTGAATCAGCCTCTGTGAAAGGAAAGATCTGCTTGAAGAGAACCAGCCTGAACTCCAACCATCTTTTGGTGCCAGGTCCCATCCATCTGATGTGACTCTCCAGCTCTGGACTTGGATGGGTGTTAACTCTTTAGAGTGTTAACTCATGCAACTGAAACCAAGAGAAAATCCAAGAGGGTCATCATATACGGCAGCCTTGGATTCTCTGAACGCTCGATTGGATGGAAATGATTGTGCCACTTGAAATTGCCAATAATCACTGTTTTTGCCCTAGTAAAATTAATTTCATGTGGTTCAACCAGCCCTTATGCTTTCCTCTCTCAGAAGTTCAGGATTAAAGTTGCAGAAGTCCCTCTGAGTTGGTAGCATGTCCCCCTACTTTCTGACAGCTCCCACTTCCTTAAAAGAAAAATATTACCCACCTCTCTTCTTGAAGATTTCACCCACTATGCCCATCATTAACTCTGCCAAAAGTTTATTGTATTCACCAAAAGGTCCTTTAAAAAATCCTCGTGGTTGGCTGGGCACCGTGGCTGGTGCCTGTAATCCTCACACTCTGGGAAGCCAAGACGGGAGGATCACTTGAAGTCGGGAGTTTGAGACCAGCCTGAGCAAGAGCGAGACCCTGTCTCTATTATAAATAGAAAAAATTAGCCAGATGTGGTGGCACATGCCGCTAGTCCCAGCTACTTGGTAGGCTGAGGCAGGAGGATGGCCTGAGCCCGGCAGTTTGAGGTTGCTGTGAGCTATGATGATGTCATTGCAGTCTAGCCGGGGCAACAAAGCAAGACTTTGTCTCCAAATAAATAAATAAATAAATAAAAATTAAAATCCTCTTGGGTGAACTCAAAGTTTTTGGTAAAGTTAGGATGAGGTCTAAGGATGCCATAACAGAAATAAATCCAAAGGAGCTGGATAAAAATCCCTTGTTCATTTATGCAGGTTGTTGGGGAGACATGCGTTTGAAAGGGTACTATACAAAAAGGAAACTGAAATCTCAGACACAGGAAAAAATGAACAGATAGATTAAAAAGAGAAAAGCATTGAGCTGTGGTGCATTATTTTATTGAGCAATAGGAGGATGTCACAATAACTCAACTTGTTCTTTTTTAAGTTGAAAAAAAAGGATATAAAGAAAAAATATGTTCACAGACTAAGATAACTACTTACGGCTCTCGCCAAGGTGAAGCCCTCCTGTCCTCTGGATCCCAGCTGCTTTCTCCTTTCCAAGGCTCATGCTCCTGCAGTCACCTCTGGCGACTCTCTGTTTCAGTTTCACTTTCTGGGCAGGCTCTACCCTCTAGCATGACAGAGAGTAATCCAGCAGTAGCTGGTTTGAAGAGTCTCTCCGTTAGGCACCGGGAGATAGAGCACCTGTTCTATCCTAGCGTGGCAATTCTGATTCCTGGGCTTTTGGCCAGCTTGCATTGACATGATTTCTACGGAACAGTGACTAAGTCCACAGAAGAACCAGAGCAATAGAAGCTGGAGATGCTAGCCCCTAATGCCAAAGTTGATTCTTACATTTATGTCATATTCTTTGTCTTTAGCACATTAGTCTTTCACTGTAACACAGAGCCCACTCTAGACCTTTCTTCAAGATAGAGAGAATTATGGATGGTCCTGCATCTAGTTATGATGAACTTCTCTCACCATAGTTACGAGAGTCATGGTGGTATCTCGTATGCCTGGGTTTGAACCACTTCCTAGCTGTGTGACTATGAGAAAGTTAAGTGTCCTCTCGGTGCCTCAGTTTCCCTTACCTGCAAAATGGTGATGATATGTGCTGAATAACGTTTGCTGTTATTATCACCATTGCCTCATTCCCATGAGACGGAGGTCCAATTGCAAGGGCCATGCCCATGTGGCTCTGCCCCAGGTCTTTAACTTCTCCCTGGTCAGATGCCCCCTGTTCTTGGTTACTATCTTGTTAAAAGAGTCCCAATGAGTGTACTTTCTCTATTTTCTCATTGTTCTTTCCATCTCCACAAAGTCTTTCAAGTTTCCTTTCTTGCAGGGCAACCAAATCTGAATGGTTTCTCCAAAAATTATGATGGCTTTCCTCCCAACTATACCACAGAGTCTCCCTCGAATCAAGAGCTCTCACTCCACCTACTACAGGCATCATTCTACTAAAAAAAAAAACAAAAAACAAAAAAACTCACACCTACACAAAACAACTTGGTGTGAAACTAGATTACTCATATGTTGCTGCTGGGAATGTGAAATGCTATAAGCACTCTTGAAAACACCTTGGCAGTTCCTTAAAAAATGAACCACAGCCTCATCTCTCCCCTCCCAGGGTGGCAGCAGCAGGGAGGGGCAGGGTAAGTCATAGCACCTCCTCCACCCTCATGATTCCTCTGGGGGGAGGGGAGGAGGGCCAACAGGACAGGATGGTGTTTGTGGGGAATTTAGAGGCCCCAGTGCAGGAAGAAATGCTTTATGAGCTGTTTCTTCAGTTTCTCATAGGCTATGCCATTAACCAAAGTGATGGTATGCAAAAGCAAAGAAGAAAAGGGGAAGTCTTGCATCTGTCTGCTTTAAACACCCGTCTGTGAGTGTTATGCCATAGTTCTGCAGAATGGAATTCATTTATATGGAAGATCAATTAATATGTGATATCAGTTTGGAAATTCTCACTCTTCTGAATGAACTAACTAAAGCTTTGAACACTATGTTAATGTTAGGTAGACAGCGAGGGATTGCGGGTCTCCTAGGGACAAAAGTGGGTACTGTGGCCCCCATCTTAGTGCAGCTCCACCCTAATCCTCTCCCAAGTAACTGCCATACCTGGGGCAGGAGGAAACACCCTATAAATCTGTCAATCGGAACTTAACACACCAGCTGCAAAAGAATGCAGAGGACTCTCTAGCCCACGGGCCAAGCAGTATAGGTACCATAGAGTCTGGAAATTGACCTAGAATAACTGGCATGGGTAGTTAAGACTCAGGTCATGTGACTCCCAACTGTCCAATCAAAGTGGTTCTGTGGTAACCTCTGAACCACGAGGGAGGTCCCAATCTGGGCACTATAAAACAAGATGCAGACCATAATCAATCCCTTTTTTGGGGGCTCTTCCTTTTGCTCTCCCTTTGCTGCAAGAATGGGTCCAGTCGTCATCTGTGGCATATGTATCATGCTCTGTAAACCTATGTCTTGCTCTTGCCCTATAATCCTGTCTTTCTCTCCTCAATAAGCCTCATTTTCATGCTTGCCTTACTTTGGTGTGTCTGGTCATTCTTCTGCCATGAGCGCACTAAGAACTAACATTTCAGACTAAAACCTGACATCTATAGAAGCAAGAAGCCATGGGCAGCTCTTTCTTTGCCATGTGGTTCTTTCCAATTAACGATGCTGCTTTACCTCAACAACATTTTTTCTTTCAGAAGATGCAGTAGCAAGCCTATACCCCAATGCTGTAGCTTCCTTCCTAAATGAGATGACCTCCCACTTCTTAATTCACATCTGGGTCTTCCTGACTAAATCACGTTTCAGATCTACTCGGATTGGATCTTTATCAGATAAGTAAACAAAAGAGGTAAACACAAACCAGTAATAGTTACAGTAGAACAGAAAACAATAGAGGAAATAAACATAGGCAAAAGTTCTGCAAGTATAAGAGGAAGAAAAGGTATTAGTAGTATGTTCGAATGAAAGATTTATGTATACTGGTTTTAATACTATTAAAAGCAAAAAAAACACAAAAAACAAAACCCTACCTGTATTATTCAACTACTAATTTAATGGTTGTTCTTTCTGAAATATGTAATACTGTGACAACTTATTTGGTAGTTAATTTTTACCTTGAATGACAAAAACTTACAAGTGATATAATGTACTGTTTTTTGTATTTGTCATGCTACTGGTGACCCATTGTCAATAAGAAATGTACTTGGAATTGTTCCTTTTAGTATTGATGATAAAATTGTACTAAATTATAAGTCAAAAATTGTCACTGAACAGCATGCTTTCTTGGATTGTCTCCTACAACACTTACCTATAAATAGGCTAGAATTAGAAGTGGAGCTGTGGATTTTCTAGAAGAAACTAGTGCAAATATTTGAGTTGCAAATGTTCTTAATGAAGACTGAATACGCAGGCTTTTTAGTGCTTGAGTTTCCTTTGTTAATACTTTACATAACATTTTATTTTTTCCATTTAAATATGTTGTTTCTGAGCCTTAGTCTCATGTGGATCTATTTCATAAAATGGGGACATGTGACAATGATACCAAAGGAAAGATGACCATCATGGGACTAGTCTGTGGATCATTCCTTTGTGATGTGATTATATATAAATAGGTAGAGATAATTTCCAGTTATTAACTGTATTTAATGAAAATAAGTTGTCTATGTCAGTATTTATTGACCTCTTTTGCCAGTAAGGTTTGAGAGGGTGTATGTAACATATTTAAATCTTGATAACTTAATAAACAAGTAAATGGGATATTTCATTAATGTATAATATTTAATATTTATTATTAAAATCAAGTTTCCTATCTAAAATAAATGGGCTATTTGAAGGAAAAAACAAAACAAAACTGACTAATCATGCAACTCCCATATCACCCAGCCGTTGTATTCCTGGACATTTATCCCATAAAAACCTGTTCTTGAATGTTAATAGTTCTTTTACTTGTAATAACCATAAATGGGAAACGATCCATATGTCCTTCAACAGGTGAATAAACAAGATGCCATATATCCAGACGATGGAATACTACTCAGCAATATAAAGACATGAATTATTGTTCACATCAAACAACAGCATGGATTTCACAAGAAGTTGGAGGAAGCCTTTCACGGGGAGATGGGGGGTGACCTGCTGATGGAATACATCCACCAAAAGTATGGTGGGGAAAAACAAAAACGAAACAGATGGCAGAACTGAAAAACAGAGACAATGGATTATTCATTCATTACCAAGTAGTAACGTTTATAAATTCAGATTATAATTGAAAGTAGGTTACAAAAATAGAAATCATAAATGTTATTCCTGTACTTTTCACACAAACAAAATTTTTAGAAAAGCTTAAGACTAAGCATGCTATAGAGTTTTTGCATAAAAGCAGGAATTTTGTCTTTTGAACAAGAACAAAAATCTCATGACACGAAGTATATCTATTAAAAATTGATTTTGTAGTAATTATTCTATATATTTTGAGTTATTTTTATATATTTAGAGCATATCAAATCAATTCATCTCTTTCCCTGTTAACAAAAAAGATACATTCACAGAATTAGTGTACTTGGAATAAAAAGTAAACAGAGGAAACAGGAGACCTAAATAGAGTCAATAAACAACATCTTTCAGGACAAGTTTGATCACTTGAAAACACAAAGTTGTGCTGGTTTTCAACTACAATTCTCATACTTAATGTTTCAAGTATAGCTGGTTCATCAGGCCAGCTTTTCAGGACAACAGTAAGTGCAGCCCAACACAGGACTGTCCAAAACATATTCATACTTCCAAGATGCTGACATGGTACCCCACAGAGGTCTGTGCGTAAAATTAAGAAAACCCTTCCAACAGTGATGTTCAAAGCCAGTGATGTTCAAGGCCAGGAGCATCCACCTCTCAACCTTGTATCAATCCAGGATTTGTAAACTACAGTTCATTAGGCAAGAGAGCAGTTTTTTCTTCCTCTGTGCTGAGGATGTTTTGAGATTCAGATCTACATTGAGGGAGAGAAGAAAAGAATTTCAATATTTCTCATCTTAAAAAAAAACCAGCATCTGCATCTCTATCCAAATATCCCCTTAAAAGTGTCTATCAAGTGATGAGCCTCAGAGTGCCCAGAAATCCAGTGACTAGAAGAATGGATGTAAAATGTTATTTCTTTTCCACTTGCACAGGCTGACTTTTAAAGGGAGAAAAAAGTCCAAAAGTTGACCATACCTTCTTCTTCTCCTTGAGTGCTCCAGTACATAAAATAAGCCCATGGCTAATCCCTTTAATACAATTAAAGATACTGGTTAATGTAAATTCCACAAATCAAGTTTCTCCACAAATGTAAGGGGAATGAAAATAAAAGATTGGTTACTCACACTTATCAGAGCCCACAGACCTTGTATAGCTGCTGCCCATTCAAAACCAATTTTCTCATACAGAAATCCACCCAGTGTTGGTCCTATAAAAGCACTAACAATGGAAAGAAGAAAGAGTATACAATAGTGCAAATTAAGTATTACTTCATAAAAGTTGCATGATCCCTCAATCATAGGGCTTCCTTAAATTGGAACCATAAGTACTAAAGAAAATAGCCAATTCCTGGGCATAGCATGGGGTATAAGAAAACAGTTCTACCGGATAATGATGATTTTTAAATTTTTAAGCAATTTCAAAATTGTAACTACTTCTGGAAAGTTGGTAGCTTATATAAAAATAAAAAAGATGACACACATTTAAAAAATTCTTTAAATTATTGTGTTCTCAGCATTTACATCTAATATATCTCAATTCAATACATATTTATTAACTACATACTACATTGCTAGCATACAGTTACCCTTCTGATAGAGAGTAAAAAATAAACAAATGATAAATAATTGAGTAAATTTTAAAAATCTGAGACATGTTTCTATTAAAGGAATTTATAAATATCACTTATATAAGATAAAGTATATGAAACCATTTGATTAGGTATTAAAACTGCTGGTATAACCACGGATTGTGGAGTCAGAGGGTATGGATTAGAACTTGGCTCTGCCCTAGATGAACTATTTGTCTTTGAGAAATTCATCTGACCTCTCAGCATCTCAATTTCTTCATCTGTAAAATGGGCATAGTATTTTCCATCTTGTACATGTGAATAAAATTCAATGACTACTCACCCAACCGACCACATTGCACTAAAGAGACCTGATACGAGTCCCAACGTATATAATCCCTCTTCAAAGCCATTTTCACTGCAAAAAGAGACATGAGTGTATCCATTATTAAAAGGAAAACCTGCATGAAAGAAAAAATTTATTATAGATAAATTAAGATAAACCAGGGATAATATGGACAAAACCAATAGCAAGAACACTGTACTTCTAAGATAAATAATGAATCTAATTTGAAGGAATTTTCATAGGTATACTCCATGGTTTTCTACAAATAATTTTATTACATATATAAGACATGATATTAAGAATCATGAACCATTAGCATTAAATGCTTATAAAAATATATAATTAACTAACAAATTCTTAAAATGAGCTAAAGATATAAAGAGAATAATAGGCCAGGCCCAGTGGCTCACACCTGTAATTCTAGCACTCTGGGAGGCCAAGGTGGGCGGATTGTTTGAGCTCAGGAGTTCAAGACCAGCCTGAGCAAGAGCGAGATCCCATCTCTACTAAAAATAGAAAGAAATTATCTGGACAACTAAAAATATATAGAAAAAATTAGCCAGGCATGGTGGCGCATGCCTGTAGTCCCAGCTACCTGGGAGGCTGAGGCAGTAGGATTGCTTGAGCCCAGGAGTTTGAGGTTGCTGTGAGCTAGGCTCATGCCACGGCACTCTGGCCCGGGCAACAAAGTGAGACTCTGTCTCAAAAAAAAAAAAAAAAAAAAAAATTCAAATTAAAAATAAATTAAAGAGAATAATGGCAACTTTTAGCAAACACAGAGGCAGCTCCTTATTCCTAAAAGAATTGTTGAAGTGACCCAGCACAGCCACAGTCACAGTGCCTATTAAACAAAAGAATGATGGCCAAGTGACAGATGCCTGGTTGCTCTATGCTCTTGTATGGACCTCCTCCATGAAAGAGGAACGATGCTGAGCCCTTTTCATTTTCTTTAGCTTTTCAAAATTATATATATACTGAGACATAAACCAAGCCAACCATCTATCCACAACCCATTTTAGCTATTATTGTATTAATGTTACTATATATTACCATTTATATTATTGTATTATTATTTAGACTATTTATATCACAATAGTATATGCTATGAAATCATGAAGATTTAATATTGCGGAACAAATATCCAACATGCAAGACTATTGAGAAATTCTAGAAAGCCTATGATGCTCACTGCTATTTATAATACAGCTCTTCAAGCAATGGAAGTAACTTACTATGCACAACTGAGAATTTCCGGGAAAGTTGGAATTATACTCATTCCAGCAGAGATGCCATGTACAACTAATATCAGCACCAGCAGCCAGAGCTGACTATAAAGGGGTTTTGGAGAAAACAAAAGCAAAAACATTAGCATTTTAAGAGACACAAAGCTTAATGCTAAGGAGGGCAGGATCCCAGAGAAGTTAGTTACACGAATTCTGTGCCCAGTCTCATTCTCATTCCCATTTGACCTCATTTCATTCAGTCAGAGCTCCCATTAGCTTTTTACATTTTGAGGGCAAAAAAAAAATCACCCTAATATCTCAATCTCTTTGGTCACATATATCACATGTCTGAAGCCAACCTGCCTTCTCACCATACAAAATCTTTTCAAAATTGGTTAAAATGTCAATAATAATACTGTTCATTTGATCACTTGGCTTTGAAATTTAATCAGCTGAAAAATGGCATAGAAGGGAAGTGGTAAAGGAAGAGACAGGAAACTAACATTTGTTCCATGTTGGGGCACTCTGCTGGTTACTTAACGTACATTATCCCATTTAATTCTTGGAATGTAAATACTACTATCAGCTCCTTTTTGTAGATGAGAAAACTGAGGCTCTTGGAAGGTAAGCGATTTGCCCAAGTTCACACTACTAGTAAGTGACAAAGCCAAAATGCAAACCCAAGTCTGAAGAAGTCTGAAATCCCTCTCTTTCCATAATATCATGTTTTAACCCAGAAGTACCAAAAACGGTCTAAGAAGATCACTTTATTTTAGCAAATAAATTACACTAAACAAGCTTTAATGAACAGCTACTACATGCTAACAATGACACAGAAACAAAAAAAGATTTAGTCCCTGCCTGAAGGAAGAAGGAAGAGTAGAAAAAAACAAAAATATATTCTATGAACTATCAACGAAAGGTGGGTAGCAACAAATGCTATTTTCAAATTAAAGTACAAACAAGTATGCAATTGAAACAGAGGGAGAACAAGCATTTTTGTCATTTGATGCAGATTTTATGCATTCCTGTCTGTTTGTATCACTGCTAGCTTCT